GCTATAATATGACGTGCTGGGTAAGTGTTTTGGAGGTCGCTGAACACGAATATGAGGTCGGAAAAGCGATAGGACACATGTTAACACAGGTTTGCCGAAATAAAATAGTACAGATATACTTTTACTGTATTCCTTTTATACATCGAGTTATAGTGGAGAGCCTACAGAAAAAAAAACGCCAAATTGGGTTACAAGCATGAAATTTGGCATAGTTGTCAGGAAGCTCATTTTAAGAGATCTGACCCGACTAGCCAGGCTCTACGACCCTCAAGACTCCCAATCTCGCATTTTTTTTCAAAATGGCGGACGGGAATTTCCTCAATTTCAAAATTAATTCACTTAGGCATGATTATACATTTTATTATATAATTTGAGGTCAAGGAATTCAAAAAAAATATTTTCAAAACGATATGACCTTCAGTAACCTTGAAAATTACAGTTTAATTCGATTTTAAAATAATTTTAATATAACATGTTTGAAACCGCCAATAGAGGGGGGTTAAAAATCAAAAATTATTGCTTAGCATAACAAAATTGAAATGTCTTATCAAAGACAAACAGTTTCTTCTATAATAAATCAGCGCTGGATGAAGCGGTAGTACTAAGGTAAAGTATTTCGTTTTTCACAGAAACATAAATTCACATGTATTGCCCTGGTTCTGTGGCACCTTGGCACTACCCCACCAGACGCTGCTTTAACAGATACTGCAAACTATAGGAATCGTTGGTTTTGACATTCGCCATCGCAGTTAGTACAAGGTAGACCTGCTTTCTGATACGAACATCTGTTGGTTTCACTTTGACTTTCACATCCGCACTTTTCTAATTTTCTAGAGCTCACCAAATTTCTGCTAGCTGGCTCCCAGCGGTTGTTGGTTGAATTCCAACCCCATCCTCCAGGAGATGGAATAGGTTCACCGGGTGACAGCATCGACACCGACCCCATATTTGACTGGCTCGATACGCAGCTCTTCTGTAGTCTTTCATTAAACTGTCTTGTGACGGTGAACACAAGGCTATTGGTCGTTCTCCACTACGAAACTGCACCTTTCTCAATTTATTTACTTTTTCAAGTTTGCTTTTTGCATCATATACTGGTATAGTGAATTACTCTAAAATTTTGAATATTTTTTGTGTTATATCTGTGCTACTATCCATTAGAGATAAATGATGGATGGGCAGGGTTGCCTCTGGATAATCTTTCCATGTGCTTTCCATTCTCTGTTTTTTCTTTTGAATGCAAAAAAGGAAGTAGTTTCGCACCCCCTAAAAGCATAAAAGCCACGCAATGCTAAAGATTTTTCAGGTTCCAATAAATGTTTTGCAATGTTATGAGCTGCAATATATCTTTGTGATTTGTTAACCCCATATACAAGCTACCATAATTCCTCAAGGGTCAAGGACTCAACATGTAGAAACATTCTTTCATCTGCTTCCTCCATGTCGGTACAAGATAGTCCATCCAGACTGGTTTTGATATTATGTTAAACATTTGGTCCAAAATGAAGCTAAATCCGTTTCAGTACGATTCTCGGACACAGCTGCAATAATAGGAATATAATTTTTTTATATATTGAACTCCTCGGGCCTTGAGGAATTATGGTATCTATATGGGGTTAGCAAATCACAAAGATATATTGCAGCTCATTACGTTGCAAATCATTTGGGAAAAATCGTAAGCACTGCGTCGCTTTTACGGGGTGCGACATTACTTTCTTTTTTGCATTGAAAGGAATAAACAGCATGGAAAGCATGGGAAGATTATTTGAAGGCAACCCTGGCTTTCCATTGTTTATCTTTAATATATAGTACCACAAATATACCAGAAAATATATTCAAAATTTTAAAGGAATTTATTATTACACTATGATGCAAGAAGCAAACTTGAAAAAGTTAATGAATTGAGAAAGGTGCAGTTTTCTAGGATAGAACGATCATTAATCTGAAGGATTGGGTTGTAATTTAACAAACAACCGCTGGGAGCCATCTACCACAAATTTGGTGAGCTTTAAGAGGATTAGAGAAGTGTGGCTGTAAAGGTCAATGTGAAACTAACCTAACAGATGTTTGTATAGGAAAGCTATAGTACGGCCGCATATACTAACTGCAAGGGCGAATATCAAAACCCGAAAAATAGGTTTTATAACCTAACCTTCATACGATACTTTGGAACACTTCTATGAAAAATAAGGTAATGACATTGCTTCATGTACCTTACCACTACCGCACCAGCCACCACTGATCTGTTGAAAAAGTTAATAAATTGAGAAAGGTGCAGTGGAGAACGACCAATATCCATGTGTCCACCGTCACAATACAGTCTAATGGAAGACTACAGAACTGCGTATCAAGCCGGTCAAGTATGGGGTCGATCGGCTGTCACCCGGTGAATCTGTTCCACCACCTGGAGGATGGGGTTTGAATTTAACCAACAACCGCTGGTAGCCAACTAGTACAAATTTGGTGAGCTCTTAGAGTACTAGAGAAGTGTGGATGTAAAATTCAAAGTGAGACCAACAGATGTTCGTGTCAGAAAGCAGGTCTACCTTGTACACCCGCATGTACTAACTGCAATGGCGAATGTCAAAACCAACGATCCGTATAGTTTGCATTATCTGGCAATAACTTATTTTTCTGAAAAAAAAAAAAGATTTTGAATCCTTCATATGATACTTTGAAACATTTCTGTGAAAATAAGGTAATGACATAGCTTCATGTACCTTAGTACTACCGCATCAGCCAGCGCTGATCTATTATAAAAGAAACTTTCCGTCTTTGCTAAGATATTTTAATTTTTATGTTATGCTAAGCAAACATTTTTGATTTTTAACCCCCTTCTTTTGGCGGTTTCAAACATGTTTTATTAAAATTATTTTAAAATTGAATTAAACTGTAATTTTCAAGGTTACTGAAGGTCATATCGTTTTGAAAATATTTTTTTTGAATTCCTTGACCTCAAATTATATAATAAAGTGTATAATCATGCCCAAGTAAATTAATTTTGAAATTGAGGAAATTCCCGTCCGCCATTTTGAAAAAAAAATCGAAACTGGGAGTCTTGAGGGTCGTAGAGCCTGGCTAGTCGGGTCAGATCTCTTAAAATGTGTTTCCTGACAATTATGCCAAATTTCATGCTTGTAACCCAATTTGGCGTTTTCTTCCAAAATTTCGTACGAGGGAATTCCACTATTATACCAAATGAGCTCCTCGGAGTCACTCCAAAACATACAATTCATATTCTATCATTATTTTTTAATATAAACATTACCGTAATTACCTGTAAAAGGAATACAGTATATGAGGGGTAAACAAAATTGTGCAGCCCGTCTTCACATTCTCAGAGCAACCTACCAAGCCGGGGTCTGGCTGAATGCACATATAGCAAGGCCAGACCTTCCTGATCCTTGCTGGTACGGATGGCGTCTGGAGGAGGATTACATCCGAGCTTACACCACCTTGCCAGCGATGCCCAAGTCCTGCACGCAGTTACTGAGTTGTAGCTGCAGGTCAGGGTGCGGCACAGGCTTGTGCAAGTGCAGGCAGGAGGGAGAGGTCTGTACCAAGTTGTGCAAGTGTCAGGCAGACTGCGAAAACAACAATGACAGTGATGATGTATTCATGTAAAATGTATGGGAATTTTTTTCACCCCTCAAATTATAGTTGTACTATTTTATTTCGGCAAACCTGCGTTAACATGTTTCCTATCGCTTTTCCGACCTCAAATTCTTGTTCAGCCACCTCCAAAACACTTGTGGTCATATCCAGCACTTCACATTATAGCCACTTTTTAATGTTTGGTATTTGGGCCCCAACCGGTCGCCATCTTGGATTACGGTACTTTCGGTTGCCTAATCTATTTCTTGGTAATTTTTGATCTAGTCGACGTCAAAAACATATGTGCCGATTGCACTTGACAATGTGGCAACTTCTGAAATTTCTGATGCATTTAGGCCCCCGACAGCCGCCATCTTGAATTATGGTACTTCCGGTATCCGAATCGACTTCCGGTACTCATATTCATGTTCAGCGTCCACAAAAACATATGAAACATCTCGCCGGTCAATAACGATACACTTTAAGAAAAATGTCATTTAGGCCCTTAGTTTGGTCGCCATCTTGGATTTGGATTTAGCGGGATCGAAACATCAACTAGAAACATCAAGTTGCTGAATGTCGCACGGATTGCCGCTCGGAGTAAAATAGAGTACGATTTCTGGGAATGTCCACCAGTCTACTAGAATTTTTCCGATTTTCTTTTTATTATTGGCTCTCCTTAGGTATTTCTTCTAGAGTGGTTTTTTTTTTAGAAGAAAAAACTATTCTAGAGCCTGGAATAAACGGAATTTGAACAAACAAACAAAATTTGAACAAAAATTACAATTTTTTAAAAAAAAATGAGGATTTTTTATCGAGAATTTGAGGTGAAACCCACTTGAAAATCAAGGTATTTCAGCAACAAACAGTGGAGGAGTGAATTTTATTTTTCTCGAAAACTATTGGGCGTACAAATATGAATTTTTGAGGATCTATTTTTAAAGGTTTGGGGTGAAACTACTCACTAAAAAATCAAGTCGTTTCAGCCACATACATATAGTGAATCTGTGATATTTATTCAATTGAGGAAAAATTAGACATAAACAAGCCTCTACGTGGAATTTTTTTTCATCGAAAACTACTAAGCGCACAATTATGGGATTTTGAAAATTTATTTTTGAGTGTTTCAAGTGAAACTCACTAAAAAATCAAGCTGTTTAAGCAACAAACAGTAAAGCTGTGATTTTTCCTAAATTGAGTGGAAATTGCACATAAACATGACTCTACATGATTTTTTTTTCTCGAAAACTACCTACTAGGCGCACAATTATGAGATTTTTGAGGGTTTGAAGTCACCAATTTCCAAAATTTTTAGTCATTCCATATTTTAAATTAATTCCATATACCTACAAAATAACAAACATTACAGCATCCAGAGATTCAAATTCATTATTCTTTTTTTCCAGAGTATCAATATGAATGTGCCAAAACAACTGTTCCTCTGCTCAATTCCACTAATACTCCTACTTACTGAAGCTTCGACGATCAATTATTGTCCAAAGAAATGTAACAAATGCTTAAAACAGGATCTCACTAATTGTACATTAACCGCCAATAATGAATTGAGTATTGAATTATACCCGAAAGAAATTGTCATAAGTTGTGGCAATTTTTCGACCAAAAACAACCAAGACGTTATTGGCTTCGACGCTCATTATCTTACTGAAATTGACGATTTGGCATCAATGATTAGGAAATGTTATAAGACTAAAGCCAAAAAAAATAAATATTTAATTGATAATATTAAGAGAATATCCCTGACAAACGATATTTTCAATTTTAACAAGTCTATTGACTATTTCCAATACTCGCAATCACCAAGTATAAATAAAACCACAGTCGATATCGAAAACAACTTTTTCAAAACTGCTACAAATTTAAAAACAATAATTATGATAAACTCGCAAATAACAAAATTAAATTTTGATCGATTTCCTGATATTATTGAGTATTTGACTTTGGCTTCAAATGAAATTGAAAATGTCGAACAAGGAAATAATAGTTTAGAAAATCTTATAAGTTTAGATTTAAGTGAAAATAAATTACCAAATATAACTAAGAATTATTTTGTTAAAATAAGAAATCTCAAATATTTAAACTTAAGTAAAAATGAAATAAACTCAATTGACTTTGACTCGTTTAAAAACAATCAGGTGCTTGAAGAATTGGATTTATCACAAAATCCTTTGGATAATTTAGATTTTTATTTGCCAGATTTAAAAAAGCTTGATTTAAATGGGTGCAATTTAACAATTTTATCTAGTAAAATATTTCCGAAAAGTTACAATTTGAATTATCTGGATATGTCAAATAATCGTATTTATCATTTGGAAACTGAAACTTTTTCAAAAATGCCCAATTTAACTTCAATTAATTTAAGCTATAATTTTTTACAGTCCTTAACATTTTCGGATCGTTTGTTTGAAAATAACAAAAACTTGAAAACTGTTAATTTAAGTTACAATAAGCTGATGGTGATTTTTACTGACATGTTTGTGGGTGCTCAAGAATTAGATACTCTAGATTTAAGTTATAACGAAATATGTAATTTTTCCAATAACTTGCAAGGATTTAAAGCTAAAAATTTAAACTTTAAACATAATAAAATTGATGATTTTCCTTCCGATTTGATTTATGATTCAGCGGTGCAAACTTTGGATATGAGTTATAACGAAATAAAAATTGTTAGCTTGGTGAGAGAAGATGTTCCAGAAGATCAATATTTCGAAGTTTATTTGAGGCATAATGAAATAAACCAACTCAATATTACGAATAATGATGCACCAAAAAACTGGACAATAATGATGGATTTGTCGCAAAATCAACTAAAATGCGATTGTCTTGGATATTTTTTGAAACAAATTCCACAATCCGATCATCAAATAACCATCACGAACATCACCAGCCAGGAAATTATTTGCTATAACTCCTACCCTGACAACAACTGTCCTTTGATATCAATAGAAAATTGTCCCACAAAGTGTCACTGCTCATATTCCAGAATCCACAACTCCATTATTGTGGATTGCTCCAATAGAAATCTAGTCAGATTTCCTTACATTAAGAATCTGCTTACAGATAGGTACAAGCAAAATCAAACATTTGTAATGTTGAGTGGTAATAAACTGGATTTGAATGGGCAAGATCTTTTGGAGACTTACTCAGACGTCACTAGGTTGAATTTAACTGATAATAGGATTAGCGAGTTGAAATGGTTGCCAGAAAATTTAACGGTAATGATTGAGAAATTGGTGCGTTGTTTCATATGAAGTGTTTTTTTTTTTTAGATTCTAGATTTGACTAATAATAGCTTGACAACTTTGGCTCCTGAAATAATAGCAAGACTTGAGAAGAACAATAATTTAAAAAGAGTTTCTATGAAAAACAATCCGTGGAAGTGTGATTGCCAGGCGTTGGATTTTAGAGAATATTTGATGAATCATGAAAAGGTATTTTTAAATTTTATTGTTTGTTGATTTACTATAATAATTTGTTTGCAGATTTTTGAAAAATCCGAAATAATCTGTCACGATACCTTAAGACAACTAATCTACACTGAACTTTGTGATCACACTGTAGGAATAGTAATGGGAGTGACCACAACTATCGCGTTCATTTTCGTTGTACTATCGGCCTTGTATTTCAAATACACAGACACCATAAAAGTTTATTTGTACTCGAAAAATTTATGTTTATGGTGGGTGGCCGAAGAGGAAATCGACAAAGATAAAACCTATGATGTTTTCATAAGTTACTCGCACAGGGATGAGGAATTGGTGCGGAATGAGCTTCTGCCTGAACTGGAAAATGGAGAGCCACCATTCAAAGTTTGCTACCATCACAGGGATTGGCTTCCCGGCGAATTTATCACGACTCAAATAGCCAATTCAGTGCTGGACTCCAGAAGGACTATAGTGATTTTGTCTAACAGTTTTATGGATAGTGTTTGGGGCAAAATGGAGTTTAGAGCTGCACATACTCAAGCTATAACTGATGGTAGAGTCAGGGTAAGAACTATTAGGCACATTTAAATGTATATATTGAATTTATATTTTAGGTAATTGTGGTTATATATGGTGAATTAGACGAAAGCAATTTGGGAGACGAAATGAACATGTACCTGAAAACTAACACGTACATTAAATGGGGCGATCCCTGGTTCTGGAACAAATTGAAATATGCTTTGCCCCATTCAAAGCATAGGGGACGACATCAAGTGCCACTGGAAGTTGTCAGTAGTCAAGAATCGTTTCATTTACGATGAAGATTTGTTTTTGTATTTTGTAAATACGCTTGATTTATTTTTTTATACAAATATATTTTATGGATTTATAGAGTTTATTTAATACACTATTTCAGTAAACAACAGCTACCTACATAAGTTTGAGGTAGAAATGTACAGGGTAGTCATTTTATCTTGATAACATTTGAAGCTGTCATAATTTCTTTATTTTTGAAGTTATTTAAGTAAATAAAAAAACTTACTGTAGGGTTGTTTTCCAAGTTTTAGATAGGGTGGACAAAAAACAAAAAACTAATATATTTTGACAGTTATGCACACAAATAGAATTTTTTTAAATGGTACACCCGGTAAATTTTTAGTTTGTTCGATAATTTGTTTCATTCTGATTGCAATATATACAATACAATACAGTTGAATACAATTTACTTCATATTTACATGCAGAAATTTTTTATTTATTCTAATGGGAATTTCTGTCTACCTACCTACCTTTGCAGGTAATCAATATTTTTAGCTAGAATAAATAAAACATTTCTGCATGTAAATATAGAGTGAATTGTATTCAATTGTATTGTATTGTATATATTGCAATCAGAATGAAACAAATTATCGAACAAATTAAAAATTTACCGGGTGTTCCATTTAAAAAAATTCTATTTGTGTCCATAACTGTCAAAATATATTAGTTTTTTGTTTTTTGTCCACCCTATCTAAAACTTGGAAAACAACCCTACAGTATGTTTTTTTATTTATTTAAATAACTTCAAAAATAAGGAAATTATGACAGTTTCAAATGTTATCAAGATAAAATGACTACCCTGTACATAACTATTTTACCTAATTATCTGACATTGCCTTACAAAATTTGATTCTGATGCATATTTAGGTATTCTTGATCAAAATTTGACGTTCTTTAAGATGGAATAAAATTGAATCCCTTATCCCAAATAGTTTCCGAGATATTTCGGAAAGTCTAATGGTTCGAAAGGGTCCTTTTTTTTCTTAATAAATAGTCCCTTAGTGTTTACATACACTACTCCTTTATTTGCTCACACATCATCCTCGGTTTCTTTGTCCAGAACTACTTTTCTAATGCACGATTTTGTTTCACACACCCCTTGAAATGGCCTTTTCGTCCATCATCAGGATGAAGATCGATTGATTGATTGGGGATATTTGATTCATAATAAAAATACAAAGTTATAGGAGGAAAAAATTAGACAAGGTCCCTGAATCTGAAGATGAACTCATAAATTAGACAATGCACTAATAATCAAATTTTGAACTATAGAAAACCTTTATTCGTCAAATTACTTTATCTGACAGAAGAGTAAGTGAACAAACCGGCTCTTATTAGGATAGATTGTTACACCATTTGGACTAAAGAATGCCCCAGCAACTTTTCAAATTTGGGAAATTCCTTTAGTTTTCCAAACACTACAAAAATTATTCAAGATGTTTCGGAGTCTCAAAGTTGGAACTTTTGTCTTAAATTTTGGAAAACATTTAAAGCCAATTATTTTGAAAACGAAGCCCTAAGGCTCGGTGCCCCAACTTACTTTTTTTGACGCCCCATTCGAGATCTACAAATAGACGAAATTTCGTACCGATAGCTTTCCTTGTTTTCAAAATACGGCCCTTTGAAATACATATTTGAAAATGAAATTTCTTTCTATACACCCCTTAGAGCAGTGGTTCCCAAACTTTTTTCTTCTGCACCCCCTTTCTAAAATCAAGAAGTAGTCGAGCCCCCCTTCCTTCCCCCATTATACAAAAACATTTTTTTTACTTACTGTCTCGTCTGAACAGAGACGCTTTCGGGTGCTCTTAGAACACTTCACACCCGTCAGTGACTCATGCAAAACGCGTGTTGCACTCGAACGCTTGAAACCGAACGGGTCAAACTGTAGCCGGAATACTTCGGAGTAACTCGGGAGCGCGCAACGGATGGCACCCGAAAGCAGCTGAACTTTGGAAGGGAAGGAATTGGCATGACAGTAGGCAGCGAGCGTGCGCTGTAGCAATTAGAGATGCCACGAATAGTGATTTGGCCGAATACCGAATATTCGGCCACGCTCTCGTTTGTAGCACCGAATATTCTGCCGCCGAATATTCTGCCGTCGAATATTCGGCGGCAGATCTGTGGGTTTTGTTCAGACCAGTCTCATTCTTATCGCGTCGCCCCCGGTAACGACGGAATTTGGTTCACTTGAGAATATATAGTGTGACAATACGCAATTTTACTCATTATTAGCTATATATTCTTTTGATCGCATGTTATTACTTATACTACTGTTTATCAGTTTATCTTTAGCAAAAGTTATCAAAATAGCACCAGTAATTAATGAAAAGTCGCCTATTTAATAGATTTTAAGTATTAGATTCATTGTGACTTGTTATTAAATAGATACATTTTTGAGTATTATGTGCGTTTTTTTTCATTATTCAGCTTCCGGTAGTCGGCCAAATATTCGGCCGGATAATACTATTCGGCCGAATACCGAATACAAATAAAAATGGCCGAATAGGCCGAATACCGAATAGTAGCCGAATATTCGTGGCATCTCTAGTAGCAATTATCGCATGGCAAAGTTGCTTTGGCTTAGGTATGCGCTGTTGTCGGATTGTAGACATTTTTTTTTAAATTTCAACTGATTTTTTTATTTTAAATCTTAAAATTTGTATTAATTTTCTAGAAGACTCACGCCCCCCTTAATGTTGCTTCACGCCCCCCCAGGGGGGCGCGCCCCCCAGTTTGGGAACCGCTGCCTTAGAGAAATTTCAATTTTGATAGGTATTTCTAGATTTTTCCTATCTTTGACTTTACCAATCGAAATTTAGTGGAAAAGTATTTCCTTGATTTTTATTTTTGAGGTTTTAGGGCCTGTAAAAAATTTTGATCATTTGACACTGCCTCACAAAATGGCTGATTACTCAATTGATATTCAAGAAATTCTGATGCATATTTATATATTCTTGATCAGAATTTGACGTTCTTCGAGATGAGATGAAATTGAATTCCTTATCTCAAATAGTTTCCGAGATATTGAGTCTCCTCAACTTACCTTTTTTAAAGTCCCAGTCGAGATCTACTAATAGACGAAATTTCGTATTGATAGCTTTCTTGGTTTTCAAAATATGGCCCTTTGAAATTATTTGAAAATAAAGTTTCCTTTCAGGGACGTAGCGAAGGCCTCTGGTTTGGGGGGGGGTGACATTCCTAATTTTCCCAACTTTTTTGAAACATAAAAAAAATCATATATAGCATCGTACACGTGTTAAAAAGTGAAACTTTTTAAAAACTATTCCCTTCCTCATACAACTTTTAGACATAGTGCATGAGTCGAGGTATAAAGACGAAAGGCTACACAAAAGAAAAACGCGCATCTGTAGTGACGTCACAAGGGTAACGGCGCTTGACAATAATAGGCAATCCACTTTGTTTATAATCCTTGGTTTGTGTGAATCGTTCGTCGGCTGTCATTGTCATTGGCTGTCTTTCTCCGTCTGTCTACGTCGCCGCATATCTTTCTTCTCTCTCGTCTCTCGTATGCCGAAATTTGCCAAAACGTGTCGTTACGTTAACGTGACGCGTCTTTCAAAACACTTTACAAGAAGTTTCACTTAAGAAAAATCATGTGCAGCATCGTGCACGTGTTGGGAGGTGAAACTTTTTAAAAACTATACCCTCCTTCATACAGCTTTTAGACTTAGCGTATGAGTCGGGGTAAAGACGAAAAGCCACACAAAAGGGAGACGCGCATCTATAGTGACGTCACAAGGGTATCTGCGCTTGACAATAATAGGCATTCCTCTTTGCTTATAAACCTTGGTTTGTGTTAATCGTTCCTCGTCTGTGATTGTCATTGGGTACATTCAGGCGGTCCCAGCGGCTAAGCTCAGCCAATCATCAGGGACTTTATTCTCGAAACCAAGGATTAGCGTTCTCATAAGAACGATTGCTCTGTCATTATCAGTGTTATGCCGGACGACAAAGACAGAAACTTCGTTTCAATGAGAACGCTGCTCCCCTGTTTCGACAATAAAGTTCCTGCTGAGTGGCTGAGCTTAGCCGCTGGGACCGCCTGAATGTACCTATTGGCTCGCTTTCTCCGTCTTTCTACAGTCTACTATATATTCCTTCTCTCTCATCTCTCGTGTAACGAAATTTGCCAAAACGTGACGTTACGTTATGCGTTTTTCAAATCACTCTCCATATTCTTCTCTAAATATCAGACCGCCGCCTAGGAAGTTTCACTTCAAAAACTGATAAAAAGTTTGACATGTATACAGGGTGTCCCGGATAAGGATGCAGTCTGATCTCGGCAACCATAAGAGATATAGGGTTGGTTAAATTCGGAAAGAGTTGCGCATTACTGAGCTCAGTGGCGCCATGTTTTGATATTTCGTAAATTCCGAATTACATATTCCGAAGATATCCATGAAAAACCGAATTTTGCCGAAATGGATTTTATTTTTTTCTGACTTTATTTGAAATGATATCGCACAATAACCCACTACATGATAATGTTATTAGATTTTTGATCAGACGTTTCGTTTCTTCGCGATCATCATCAACTTTGTTTTTTCAAATGCTCCTAATTCCAGGAATAATAATTTCCGCTAGTGGTACCATTAACGGGCCTCCGCGATCTCCAGACATTACACCGATGGATTCTGATAAGTCAGTGAACTTAATTCTTAAGTATTTCTCAAAAGATAATAATAATAATAATTAGTCCTCGCAAATAAGGTGCGCAAATTTTTGTCTACCAATTTTTCCCAACTTTAAATTTTTTATCCAAATTTTCCCAACTTTCGATATATTTTAGGAACTTTGGGGGGGGCGTTGCCCCCCCAACCCCCCCATGTCCCTGTTTCCTTTAGAAAAATTTCAATTTTGATTTTTCTAGATTTTTCAATTTTTCAATTTTTGACTTTACCAATCGAAAGAGGGGATCAAATTTAGTGGAAAAGTATTTCCGTGATATTTATTTTTGAGGTTTTAGGGCCTGTAAAAAATTAAAACTAATTTTTGCATTTTTGACTCTGCAAAATTTTAATCTTTTGACATTGCCTCACAAAATGGCTCATTACTCAATTATTATTCTAGAAATTCTGATGCTTTTCTATATATTCTTAATCAGAATTAAGGTCCTTTAAGATAAAAGGAAATTGAATCCCTTATCTTGAATAGTTTCCGAGATATTGAGCCTCAAAGTTGGAACTTTGTCTAAAATTTTGGAAAACCTTCAAAGCCGTATATCTTGGAAACTAAGCCCTAGGGCTCGGTGCCCTAAATGATCTTTTTTCAAGCCCCACTCGAGATCTACAATTGAACGAAATTTCGTACCAATAGCATTCCTTGTTTCCAAATTATGGCCCTTTGAAATATTTGAAAATGAAATGTTCCTGCATACCCCTTAGAAAAATTTCAATTTTGGTTTTTTCAAATTTTTCAATTTCTGACTTCACCAATCGAAAGAAGGGGCCCAATTTAGTGGAAAAGCATTTTCGTGATTTTTCTTTTTTAAGGTTTTAGGGCCTGTGAAAAATTAAAAATAATTTTTACATTTTTAGCCCTGAAAAATTTTGATCATTCAACATTGCCTCACAAAATGGCTAATTACTCAATTAATATTCCAGAAATTCTGGTGCATATTTATATATTCTTGATCAGAATTAAATGCTCTTTAAGATAAAATAAAATTGAATCCCTTATCTAAAATAGTTTCCGAGATATTGACCCTCAAAACTTTGTCTTAAATTCTGGAAAACCTTTAAAGCCGTATAGCTTGAAAACTAAGTGCTACGGCTCGGTGTACCAGATAACCTTTTTTTTGAGGCCAACTCGAGGTCCACAATTGAACGAAATTTCATACCAATAGATTTCCTGGTTTCCAAAATATGGCTCTTTGAAATATTTGAAAATAAAGTTTCCTTATGCATACCCCTTAGAAAAATTTCAATTTTGATTTTTCCAAATTTTCGACTTTACCAATAGAAAGAGGGGGTCAAATTTAGTGGAAAACCATTTTCATGATTTTCCTTTCTGTGGTTTTACAACCTGTAAAAAATTAAAAATTATTCTCGCATGATCATCCTACATTGCCTGACAAAATCGCTCATAACCCCATTAATATTCCACAAATTCTGATGCATACTTATTATACTCTTAATAAGAATTGAACGCTCTTTAAGGTAAAACAAAAATAAATTATCCATCTCGAGCAGTTCTCGAGATATTGAGCCTCAAAGTCTCAAGCTTTGGAAAACCTTCAACTTTTTGTCCATTTCTACTAGATGACCATAACAGACAACACTAATGTGGATAATTCTAATTTATTTTCCCAAAACACATTTCCCTAAGCACAAAAATTGAAATTTTTAATCACTATAAACTGCATCAAAGTTCAGAAACAATAATTTCCTTGCGCATCAGTGAATTGCATTGGCCTGCTGCCCTGTGTCTAACAAGTCCTCAACAAGTTTGTTCTTGACAAATATAAGGATATTGTTCGAAACAAGTCAAATCAGTCCAACCGTCGTCCATAATAGCCACACAATGTTCGCCCTCGTTATAATTCATAGCTTGTTTGTAGTCGTCCGGTTGTCCTACGGCCCATTTCATGTAATCCATTTTGGAACCCGTACCGGCCCAATAATATTTGCCGTTGCCTTCTTTGGTTCCAGAGAGCCAAAAAATTTCTAGACAAAAAGAAAATGTATCAATTGGATTGGATAATCTTCTATTCAAGTTTTCATATAGCTTTGAGTTTACATTAGAAAAATTTAAACAAGTTCAAACTTTCAGGATTTATAATAAATTATCTGATACTCAGAAACAGAGGGTAAGGTCAAAGATGATCTCTACCATTCATTGACAAACTTACTTCCAAGACCATTATTATTTTTCAAAAATTCTTCCAGCTCATTTTGATAATTTCCAGCAGAAATACTAGCTAATTCAGTGTTATTTGTTTTGCAATTAATTAACGCTTGGTACCAATTAACCTGCAAACATGTTGTTTCATACAAAATCGCAAACCAATCGCATCCAATCTTACCGGTTCTGAGTACATTTTAAAGCCGCCACGAATAACAACAATAATTTGCAGCAAAACAACAATTAACAAGTAATTATTAACCATTTTTCTTTTAATAATTTACTTTTGTAAACAAAACAATTTCACTTCCATTTTATTTTTCTGCAACAACAACCTTCTTGAGTTACTTATAATTGGGTACTATTTGCTTTGTAAATAAAAAACTATTGAATACTTGAGAATATTTATAAATATCACAACCTGTTTTGTTATTAATACAGAGTGACTCAAATAAAACAATACTCAAACCGTTGGCAAATATAGGAAATATTATTAAAGCAAGTCATGTCGTTCCAACCAATTGGTTCTGGTCGGTAAGAGGGGAATCCCCAGCAAACGCAATGTTCTCCTTCGTAGAAATTGGTGTCGAATTTAGCATCGTCCGGTTGTCCATCTAGCCATTTGGTGTAAATCATTTTGGTACCAGTGGTTGCCCAGTAGAATTGACCGTTTCCTTCTTTGGTACCAGCCAACCAATAACCTTCTACATAGGTTATAAGATATTTATTTATATTAATAATGCTAATGAACTTACTATCATATCCATTTGTTCGCAGGAATTTATCCAAGTCGTTTTGTTCTTGTTCCGAGTGTATGCTGGCCAATTCCATTCCAGCATTTTTGCAGTTAATTAGGGCCTGGTACCAGTTTACCTTGAAATTTGTAATTATTGAATTTCATATTTGAGTTAAGACTTATAGCTTACCGGCTCTAATGAAACAACATATTTTTGACATTCAATAATATCGGCTAATAAAAATAATGTAACAAACACGAAATGATAATATGCAATCATCTTAATTTCTTGCTATTGCAAAACAACAACTGACCATTATTGAATAAATCAATTTGCGTTTATATTATTGTAAATTGCAAAATGGGTTAGCAACAAAAAAAAAACAGGTTTCCTTGAAATTCGGAAAATGTTTTGAGACCCAGACTCCAGAGAACTAAAATAGATTAAACGGGATTTTCCAATAATGTTTATGATGAAGTAAATTAATTTATTCATTTCATCAAGGAACTTGTTTTAATGCTTGACTTCATTCAGTCAGAAATCAAGCTCCGAGTATTGTGTTAATTTTAAATAATGTACAAAATCAGTTTGCTGGTTATTTTTTGGTTTGGTAAGTTGATTGTTTGTTAATTTACTTTGTATTAAATTAATATATTGTCAAGGTACAAGCCATTGTGAACAACTAGACACCAAATATCACATATCTACCGATTCGGTATGTTAAAGACAATATTTTTATGGATTATATTGATACAATTAGCTTTTTTAGCAAAATTGGTTTCAAGCTTTGATTAACTGCAAAAGCGCCGGCCTAGAACTTGCAAGTATTCCTTCGGAAAAAGAGGAAGCGAATTTGGAAAAATTCATCAAACAGAATGGATATAATCGTAAGTACCCAATACTTAATCATTATAGACTGTGAGATGGGGGCTGTTTAGTGGAGTCATTTTTTTTGTCTGGCATTTTGAGGGCTGAATGTGGCTCCTATTGTGTATTTGCTGAACGAACAACGAACGAACAATGCGTTTTTTGAATAATTCTATATTAGACTGACACATTTACAAAACATATGACAAGGTGTCCCATAGAGACAATTAAACAAAAACTACTGCCTACTTATACTACATTTCCCCCTTTCTTTAATATTAAATATTTAATTTAGAAGGACGTTTAATTTGCCTTCCAGAACGAGTAACTAGGGGTTGAGTTGAGGAAGCTGAAATTTCACTCGAAAAATCTTTTATAATATTTTTATTATTCCTCAAAGGACTCGACACATTCGTTTTAGAAATTTCAACTTCTTTCACATTTAAATTTGTTTGTTTAGAGCTGTTTTCTAAAACGTTAGATGATGAAGGATTTTCATTAGACACTTCCGGGTTTATATTTGTCACATTTCGGGTATTATTCACTATATTCAACACTTCATTAGATTCACTTATTTCAGGAGATACTACAGTTGGTAGCAATGGTTTGTTAACACTTACACTTAACTGTGTACGCAAGTTATCAGAATGAACAAACTTAATGTCATTTTCAACTCTTACCAAATATGTACAGAAGCTCAAAACTTTCATAATTTTACCTTTTTGCCACAATTTTGTTAATTTATTCTTGACATAAACGTTATCATTCAATTTATACAAAACCACTTTCCTTTCAGCTTGTGGATTTGAATCACACTTTTTCTGCAATTTGACAGAATTGTGGCAAGGTTTCAGTAAATCAAATCTAGTCCTTGGCCTTATTTTTAAAACACACTCAGCTGGAGATATTCCAATAACGGTTGAAGGTGTGTTCCTGTATGTAAACAGAAAACTTGACAATTTTCGCAAAATATTTTTTTCTGATATATCTCCACCTTCCTGTGAAAACAAACTTTTTTCTAGTCCTTTTTTTATAGTTTGCACACCACGTTCAGCAATACCATTACTCTGCGGATGGTATGGGGGTGATTTTACTGGAGAAATGCCATTTGCTTGACAAAACAAAATAAAGTTGGACGAATTGAATGGTGGACCATTATCGGAAACTAACTCGACTGGAAGACCAAAAACTGAAAATATTTCTTTCAAAATATTTATAGTTTCAATAGCATTTGTACCATTCTCTCTTCAATCTTCAGCATCCTAGTATTGAAAGATATCAAAAGAAGTTTTTCCAGACATGTAGGTAATATGACGAGGTTGAAACCTAAATGTCTTCAAAATTAATTACCGAAATAGTAATAATAATTCACAAATTCCAATCGATCAATTCAGTTTCAGATGGTTACTGGATATCGGGTACCAACTTAGGAAACGGCGACTTTTACTGGGCCTCGACAGGGAACCCGATCATCTACACGAAATGGTACCCAGGCCAGCCGGACAACTCAAAAACAGAAGAAACCCTTTTCCGAGACGAAAATTGTATACAATTCGGAATGCGCAAATCGACCGACGAGAACCTGGAACCCGGCTGGAACGATTTGTTTTGCAAATTTAAACTAAGATATATTTGTCAGGAGATTGATAATTGTTTATAAATAAATATATTTGTTTTACTTATTACCTACGACTCTGGAGTAAAGTTAATACGCATGATATGACATCTGGAAAGTAGGGCCAGAAATCAATATTTAAGCAGGCAGCAAGAAATAATATGGCGCGGGCTATTACATTACATCCTATCGTGCTTTTAAATATTTATTTTGCTTTTAAATAATCAGCTAAATATGTTAAGTAGTGTTTATCGTTTTTATGGCAACAGGAAGTAGATAATTTTGGTTAAAACTAACTTATTAATGTACAGTGAGTAGGTCAAACAGTAAGTATATGTTTTTCTTTTTAAACCATATTTAACTAACTCAAAATTTGATAGATATGCCTTTAACAGACATTTTTCGTCGTGCCTCAACTTACATTATGGGCCTTGAAGAAGGAACCAATGAAAAATGGTCAAACTATGACAATAACGAAGTACTTTTTTGCAAGAATAATGTTTGCGTACATCCACCGGCAATGATGAGGCATGAAAATGACATCCTACATAATCCAGGTCTGTATTTCTACTTCAAACCTAACATAAACTAAAAAAACAATTTTCTTAGGCTATCTAACTGTTACCACAAAAGTATTCATAGACCAATTTAATGATGTCAAAAGACCCACCTTATTCCTAACCTGGATACCAAACACCGACCTATCCAAATGCCACACTACTCTACAAAAAAAGCACACGAGCCTTGAAAGCCTCACCTCAAACGATTCCTACAATAGCAACTCAAACGAACACGTCGTGATCACAAGACCCTTGAGCATCGAATTAAAAAGCACAAACCCTTTTTTGAATTTCGAAGACAAAACCTCGGAATCCATAAGCTCGGAAGAGAGCGACAAATTGATCAGCATCAACGTGGATATATCAAATCCAGAAATCGAAATTATACAAACTCCGGACAGCGTCAAGGATCCAATTGAGCTGTTCGAGTTTTCCAGAAGCGCCAGCGTAACTTCAACCGACAGCCAATATTGGATTTCGACGCCCGAGTATTTGATGCAAAAGCACAACTTGACTTTTCCAGAATCGGTCAATAGTTCGCCGATAATGCCTACCAAACGACCTTCGCACAAGTGCAGGAGATTCAGCGTGGATTTGAGCCAAATGAGATCGTTGAGGTTGTTCTTCAACGATAATAGTTGTACTTGCGGTCAACTGGTGGTTGCATCTAGAGAATCGCAATATAAAATATTGCATTTTCATCATGGAGGTTTGGATCATTTGGCTCAAGTTTTGCATCAGTGGCATTCGTTACTACATAGTATTAAGTTAGCAAAAGGTAATTTTGTAGGTTTTGAGTGTAAGAGCCAAAATTTCAACATGGAAAGAGTAGTTGTAATGATTCTCTGGCTTAGGTTTAGCTAAATTCTAATTCTAAAATAGTCAAAAGTAGCAGCTCAACTTCAGGTCTAGATTGTAGAGATTGTTCCAGATGCTCGAGCACTGCTACCATTCCAGATATTTTGTGCGTGACTCTGCTTCTAGTTGGTGTTCAAGATTTGTAGACTTCTCCCAAAGGATCGATTGATTGATTTGATCAACGGCAGTAACGAAAGGTTTAGTGATTACCTGACACTGCAGCTACTTAGCTTATTGTATCCCTTGCTGTGTGAATTTCTGCTAAAATAGGTTTGACACCTTCGTTCAGTCTTCCACGATTTTGAGCGCTCTTTGCATTTCCGCAGAAGTTGTTGGTAAATTTTTCCCCATGACTACGATTACTACATAATCTGAGTAACCCTGGGTAAAACTTTTCTTCCACGAAGAATGTTTTCAATCCATCTGCTGATGGTCTGTGTGACTCCGTGTCTGGACAAAGCAGTGTTCATAGATTTAAATGAGGTTCGGTTAAAGGCTCCTTCTATCGAGAAATGCTGCAAGGGCTACCTCCTTTCCATCATTTAGGGCCATATTCTCCGTAGTTCATAAAGCCTGGCTTAGTAGAAAAGCTCGGCTTTGTCACACAAAAAGCCAAGCGTTTCCACTAAGCCAGACTTTATGAACTACGGAGAATATGGCGTTTAGACGCTCTATTCTTGACACCAGTTATTGTAGGGCCGTGTTTCGCAAGATTTAAGCCCGTATTACATCTGTGTATTTTTCCGTGCATTTCTTCATGTATTTCAGGGTGCCAATCGGAAAACTCCAAACGCAACATAAATCAGCATTATGAAAAACAAAATAATTCTGGCACCCTGAACTACATGAAGAAATACACGGAGAAATAGACAGATGTAATACGGGCTTTACCCAATTGATAGGCATGTTGGTTTTGGTAGAGTGGCTTTTTTTAAAGAGAAGTTTCCCTGACATGTTTATCAATGAGTTTTTCAATCGTCTTAGTGATAAAGGACGATAGTCTTAATGCTTTTGCCTGCGAGAATAAGTCTTTCCCAGGTTTTGGTATAAAGACCATTCTGGCCTTTCTCCATGTTTGTGTTATATATCCTGTAACTAGGCTAGCTCTTAGTAGCCTGCAGATTCTATTTTTTCATAGGTTGAGATCTCTCTTGCTGTGTTCCAGTTCTCTTTAGTAGTCTGGATTGTGTGATTACTATGAATTGGTAAGTTTCCCTCTGTTATGATTTCGACTGATTCTGGGAGGTGAGTGCAGTAGAATCTGCAGTAGGTGCCATTTGTGTTTTTAAGAGTCCCAACTGGTTTTAAGGGATCCTTGGACAGAATTTTTTGGAGTGTCGCTACTACCTTGGTGTTTTCAACCTCTTGGCAGTATTTCCTCCATGATTCGATTTTTGCCTTCCGGATCTAACTATTATACATCGTTAAGGTGGAGTAGTCCCACATGCCCGTTTTTTCCGGTCTGTTGTACAGCTTGCGTATTTTCGTCCTGAGATCTGTTCTACCAGGTATCTTTTCTGGAATTTTGCTTTCTCAGGGGACAGTTGTTCTGATAAGAAGTTATTATAGCTTCCTGTAGTTTACTAGCTGACCTGGTTTACTTTTGACCTGGTTGCAGTTAGTGAGCAAACCTTCCACATATGCCTCCCAGTTCGTCCTCCTCGGATCAGGAAACTGCTGATCTCTCTTCTTGTGAAATTTCCATGCAGATATGTCTGTGATAAGACAAAGACGATTTTCCTAAAACGCAAAAAGAAGTTATTTGAGAGTTTATACGGGAAGTGGCCAATGTTATGTCTAGAATTTCTTTACTGATTTTTATAACAAAAGTAGGTTCATTATATTCAAAATTTCTGAATTTTTTGAAATGATGTAATCTAATAGGTACTCACTTCTAATGACGTCGCTCCTACCCCACACAGTGTGGTGTACATTTGCATCTATCCCCACTATCATTTGCAGGTTTAATTGCCTACAGATTCAGCTCCAGCGTTGGATGGAATCATATGGTGGGTAGGTTGAAGCGAGGATGGCTTCGAACCTTGCACCTGCCATATTCAGTTCCAGTCTAACAGCCGTTTGGTCCATAAAACAGAGATCGGTTAGTTTTAAGGCATGTACTTCATTTTCAACAAATGCAAGCTCTAACGTCGTTGGAGTTATGATCATAAATAATCTTACCTCTGACTTCGAGCCTAGATCCCCAACTCTCCCCCTGAATAATCGGGGTTCTTGGATCGTGGCTACGTCGATGTTCTCAGAGAGAAGGGTGCTGCAAAAGATGGCCATGAACGCCTTATTGTGCTGCAGGTTTGCTTGGAGCACCCGCAGCTTCTGCATCACCCTTATGTTGTTTACTCGCCTTGAAAGAGACTTGATTTAGTCCTAGAAAGGCTTTACAGCCTTTCTCCTCTAATGTCTTCAAGGCGTTCTCATCCATGGTAAGAAAATGTTCTTTTCAGCTCGGCTGCATACTATCCTTCACTCCTCCGCGTTAAGAGTTCCGCTCTGGATCTTAACTAGTTCGAGGATTTTAGTAGGCTCCTTTTCCTCCAGGACGTCTGTTGAAACAGTAGAACCCTGGCAGTTTTTGCGTGAGGGCTGCTGCCTCCCAGGGTTTCAGTGTGAGTACTGTTTTCAGGAGCCAAGACTTGGACTCCTGGTTGGCACAAAACACGGAGAGCACCCCCCCTAGGAAGTGGCATTTTGTTATCTGTGGCCTTTCGTCCGATTGGGATTTCCAAATCTTCCAGGTTGGTGCCAGCTGGATGAGCTTAGACTGCTCGGGAGTGAGTTTCTCCTCCGGATATTTTTCCAGGGTCACAACCATTTTGAGGCCAGTGAGAGCTTGTTTGAAGGTTGATTCCCCAATTGAGGAACTGGGACTATCCTTCAGATCACACTTGCTCTTTTTGGCCTGTTGTGCTCTGGCTGGAAAGGGAGTGCTAAGATCAGAGCACCTCCGTTTGCTTGAAGAGGGGATATCAGCCCACTCTGCCTGTTTATGGCTACTTGGGGGTCTTTTAGCCTCCACCAGTAACCTGGCCTCTCGGTTTTTCCTATTTGTCTGTTCTTTTCTGGGTTTAATAAGCTCCCTCTTCGCCTTTGCAGTAGCACATGACATGCGCTTTTTCGCCAGATCCAGCTTGCGCAGATCTGAAGCAATCTCATTTATGTTTTCCCCTTTGAGGTTTGCCTTGGGTGTTTGTGGCTGGGGGTTTGCACTAGTAGGTTCGAAGCCTACTGATGCGCCTCCAGATTTTTCGCTACCACATGGAGATGAGTTTTGCTGGCCCTCAATGTCCATTTGTAGCGGGGGTTTTTGTTTGTTTTCTTCTGTGTATTCCGTAGTTGGTCCCATTGGAGTATTGACTTTTTATAAGGTCCGTTCGATGGTCCAGGTTAGGCTACTTACTCTGTGAGGTCGCCCGGTATCAAAGAGATTCCGTGAAGGACATCTGTTTGGGGCACAGATGCCACTCATCCCTCGGCACGGGTCACTTAATACCTAAGATTAAGCCCCTGTCAGCCAGGTCCCATTAGCCCCAGGCTAAACGTTACCAGCCGGTACCACATGGCAATAGAGAAGGGATGGACTTTTAGCCAACCTCTTCCAAAGGAGGCCAACTTCCCAAGCATCACTCCCATGTTGGGCCAATATTGGGACAATAACTACGATTTATTGGCCCAAGTCAGATTCTCTATGTTGGCCCAATAAAAGATGTGGACATTCTGCAATATTTGTCCAAGAACGTATGTCAATATATACCCAAAAATAAATACCAACGTTGGTACAATAACATAACCAAATGTTGGCCCAAAAAGAAATAATCAATATCATATCAAGAACCTTATGCAATATAGAGCCAATTGAAATTACCAATATTGGCCCGAAGACGTATGTAAATCTTGGCTTTATATTATATTTAATTAAGGTAACGGACCAATTATAAGGATCGACTAAGAAGTGTTTTCTCTCTGCCGGACCATCCGTGGACCTGTTTCGCTGTATCACAACTCATCAGCACAATTAAGTCCCGCCAGGGTCCCGCAGAAAGAAAACAACCAATGTTTGGCTTCATCCCGGAACCAGGTTTAAGACAGGTAAAGTGAAGACAGAGTTTCCATCTATTTTTTGGTCGGCACACCAAGTGCGCACATTGAATACCCTATATTGGACCAACATTTTCAATTCAGAAAATCTAACCTTGGTAAAAATTAGTATGTAAATATTGGCCCTTCATTGGGCTTTTCAAAAAGTATCAATATTGTGAAAAAGTTGAAAATAAATATTGGGTGTGCAAAGTTTTTGAAGTGAATTCAAATATCAATAAAAAATTGAATGCCAATATTGAATTAATATTATATTACAATATTGTTTCGATAATATAAAATGTAATATTTGGCCAATATTTCATAAATCAATATTGTAGTGAGAAGTCTTGGGCCAATATTCAAATTACTGAAAAGGTAATTAATCTATGAAAACAATATTGGTACAAGATTATTTTTAAATATTGTTTCCATATAGTTAAAACTAACGTTGCCCCAATATTGGGACTGTGTTGATTTAGCAACAAAAATAAATAAATATTGGCCCAACTGAAAAACGATGTTTACCCCAGATTATGTGCTACTTGGGTTAAATTTTTGAATGATGAGAAATTTCTAGAGTCTACCTCCCTAGTTGAATTTTGGCTCTAGAATGCAGTTTTCCTCCCCACTTTTCAAAATCAAATTAACCTGTCACTACTCCAAATTCTAGGTGGAGATGAAAATCTCCCCTACAGACACTTCATGGTATGTCGTCCCGAAGTGTCCGAAATCGAGCTTCATCCCGAAGAAGGTCAAATTCCTAAACTTTCCCAACAAATTTTCCATAGCCTATTCAACGAAGCCGGCCAGTTGGAAGATGACTTAACCCTAAGAAAATATGTGTTTTTTTCTGGAATGGATAGGGACATTCGAAAAGAGGTTTGGCCTTTTTTGTTGCACGTTTACCCTTACCAGAGCAGTTTCGAGGAACGACTGCAAATTGCCGAAATAAGGAAGCAAGAGTATGAAGAGATTACTAGAAGAAGGCTGGATTTGAATGAAAACAAATTGAATCAGTTTAGGAGGAAAATTCAAAGTGTTGTTGAAAAAGATGTAGTGAGGACTGATAGAGGAAATCCATTTTTTGCCGGAGACAATAATCCAAATTTGATAGTTATGAAGAATATTTTGCTCAACTATGCTATTTACAATCCTGGACTAGGGTAAGAACTATTTAAATTCTCGATATATATAGCATCACTCAGCGAGATTTTTATTTAGATACACCCAAGGCATGAGTGATCTTCTTTCGCCAGTATTATGCGAACTTAAAGACGAAGTGGCAGCTTTTTGGTGCTTTGTGGGTCTAATGCAACGGGCAGTTTTCGTAGCTACTCCCACCGACAGAGATATGGACAGATCTTTAAGATATTTACGTGAACTTGTTAGATTAATGGTACCAAAATTCTACGAGCATCTCGACAAGCATAAAGACGCAATGGAATTGCTTTTTTGTCACAGATGGATTTTATTGTGAGTGCGGATTATGATTTTTGCAGCAGTTATAATGAATGTTTTGTTGTAGATGTTTCAAGCGCGAGTTTACTGAAGCAGTGGCCTTAAGAATGTGGGAATCGTGCTGGGCAAATTATCTTACTGATTATTTTCATTTATTCTTATGCTTGAGCATAATATTTGTTTATGCTGAAGATGTTATAGCTCAGGATTTGAGAGCTGATGAAATGCTGTTGCACTTTAGCTCATTAGGTACTTAGTTGAGTTGTTTTTAGTTGAAATTTTAGAGGATTTTTTTTTCTAGCTATGTATATGGATGGTCAATTGATTGCAAGAAAAGCTAGAGGGCTCTTGCATCAATTCCGGCAAATGAGAGAAATTCCTTGTAGTCTTAATGGACTATGTACCAGATGTGGGCCGGGAATTTGGGACAGTTCGCATAGTCCTAGGATTTTTTGCACTTGCAATGGACCCTGTTTGAATACACTTTCTATTAACAATTAAAATTTAAGACAATATTGTAAATATCTAATTTGCTTGAAAAAAAAATGTCTATTTCTTGTTATTGTAAAGGGGTAATTTTTGAATAATTGCATTATTGTTGTAAAATGGACGATTCCTATTGCTTTTGTGATTTATTTGTTGTTACAAAAATCTCAGGAAGTTTATTGATTTTTCTTCTTTTAGAAAATTTATTGTTGTTCCGATTTGATGGTTGTTTAATTTGTAATACATATCATTGGTTGTTAAAAAGAAGTATTATGCCAAAATCCGTACATAGCTTTGCAATAAATATATAGTGCAATAAATGATAGTTGATATCAACTCATTTTATGTATGGTTTCAATTTTCAAATACCTATAAATTCATCACTGAAAATACAACTATGAAAACCTACGACGGCTTTTCATCTATGTTAGTTCGATTTTACACTACGTAAATCGCACGGCTACAAGAATTAATCTGTACTGTTGAATTGATCTGCAAAGTTTTGAGTAACATCGCCATCATCTGGGTTACGCACCAAACATTAATAAAGAGAAGGGCCAATTGATTTGAAACAGCATTAAGATTATATTCAATGTTGATCACACGTTATAATGCAAATCAGTAGCTTCAGCAGTGTGGAAACCCACTAACTATTGTAAAATAATTATAATAATAAGTATATCCCTGTTGGGAAAAACCCAAAAATGCCTGTACTTATGGATGATATAACTTAAAAATATCATTCATTGTATTTCATTTTATTCAGTTTTCTATTATCCCACCCACTTGTTGCAACAGTATTATCTCCCTCTCTGCACCTAACACATCGATTTTCCGCAAGATTTTCCCTGTCAAGCGCAAGTCTGTAAAATGTGCAATATGTTTTCCCTGTGACGATGCGGTAAAAATCGTTTTAAGTATTTTACAAGAGAAATTACTCTCAACAAAATGGAAGATTTGCTGTTAAATGTTGTTAAAGAAGCCACAGGTTCGAAATCCAGCCATCTGAAACAGAAAGCACAAGAAGCCCACGGTAAGAGTTTCACTTATTTATGTATTTGTTTGTAACATAACAATAAACATTAAAAATCAATGTTGTGGTATCTGGCAAACGAAACCTCTTTTATCATCGCACCAGAGGTGATTCCATGATAAGGCTTCTTCGAATTTCGTATTGTCTACGTATTGTAGCTCCATGCATAACTGCGTTTGACCTGAAATCAATTTTGTGTACCTATGTTGTTGGACCGTATAAATTCAGTTTACCATTTTTTACTTGGTTATCTGGTTGTCCAAAGTGCCAACCGGCCAAAAAATATTCCCCTGCCAATTGTCTGTCGACTTCCTCCCAAGTCCATTTGGTACCTCGTGCTTTTGCACCCAACCAGTAACCAGCTAAAATTCGTATTTCTAATTAGTTTGATAACCTGAACAACCTTTATAGTTATTAATGATACTAGTTCGATATGAACACCATAATGAAACGCGAGGCGTCAGCCGAGTGGTTTACTCGCACAAGCCAAGTCCAACGTGTATCATTCAAAATTTATTCTACGATAGTTCAAATAGATTCCATTTGGGTATTATTATGAATTCTTAGATTACTAGAGCTATTATAAAGGACCTAATAACATTCAAATGAGAATACTAAATGTGTCATAATGACACCGACGTAGATTGAGGCTATAGTCCGAATATAATCAAACGTTAACCAAAGTAACCGAATCGGATGACAGATGGTTAGTGAAAATTCCAGTTACTTGGGAAACGCAAATATAAAGTGAAAAATAATTGACAAAATTTACAAATAAAACCAACAGAACGGACATTTGATAGCCGGTAACTATTTTGACATTAGGTTAACCAGATTTCAGGAAACCAAGGTCCAAAAGTATCCACTTTTCCAGGAACCAGAGTAATTTGATTACTTTCGGACCGTGAAACCACAACCCTGGGTTATATTCGGACCACAGCCTAAATAGGTTCATGAATACTTACAGTTTTGATCCTGAGGTACATAATTATTAGTTCGGATAAATTCACTTAATTCCAATTGTTCTTCATAAGTTATAATTGTTGCCAAATCCAAACCGATTTGATGACAATATTGTCTGGCTTCCGCCCATGTTTTCTATAAATTTATTGCTTCAAAATAATCACACGCAATAATTATTACTCACTTTGTCGGTGAAAACGAAATATCTTGCAGATGGAACTTGATAGGTTTGCGTCAAAGTAATTAGTCCTGCAGTACCTGTCAAGGTATTAGGGTACTAAGTATCTTATATGAGTAATTTCTGAAATACTTACCAAGTTGTACTAAAGTCAAAATCAAGAACAAAAGTGATGCATGATAAAGTATGGACTGACGAAAAAAAAAAAATTGTTATTTTAATACACTAATCCTTATCGTTCTTATTAGGGTTTCCATAAAGGTTTTTGGGAATCCAGGACCTAAGAGTCAAGAAATCCGGACAAAATCCGGACTTCGCCGATACATTTTTTATGAAGGATGAATTTTATTTATTTTTTGCAAAAATAAATTTTTACAGAAATTAATAGATACGCTTTGAGCATTTTTACCGTTAGACTGAAGACACAATGACAAATACAAGGTACCAATGACAAGAGACAAAAATATAATACGTGTATCAATCCTATAGGCTTTGCTATAGGCAATCCAGAATAAATGGATACAGGATACAATTTATTTGCCACCCCAGGATACAAAATTTCGAATTTTTGGTAGGAGAATACACACTCTAAGGAGTGCTTATCTCTGGCTTATCGGCCTTGTTTTTGGTAACTGCTGCCATATTGGTGTGAAATGAAAACCATTTCCGACGTCATCAGCTGTTTAAACAGCCTACGTCAAGGCGAAAAATAACATGCTGCCTACGTCACAACTGGTATTTGGGCGTGGGGGGATTTATTACTTTAAGTTTGTAGTTTGTTACTCACAGGCTTTATGAGGATAGGTCATCCTGTAATATAGGATTTTCACGCTATGTTTAGGATGACGTCACATTTAGTAAATCTCTGCTGCAAATCTAACAAAACTAAAAGTACTTCTCAACGCATTTACAGTAGGGGAATTTTAGATGTTTCTGGTTGGCAACGGCGCGCGATGTTGTATGATTTAAATGAATATTTTCAAATAAATTACGCGTGTCGATTCATTTCGTTATTTTTAGCTGTCCGGGGTCTTGATAATTCACTATGACATTCTGGTAAATGATAAGAAAACAAATAGACATTGACAACATTGTCAGTCCTTGCTCTCAGACGTCATCCTAAATATAACGTAAAAAACCTATCATTCTTGGGTATCTCCGAGTTTTCCGGACATTATTCCGAATTCCGGCCGGACGTCCCCGGACACCCTAAAAACCCAAACATGTCCGGGTAAATCCGGACGTATGGAAACCCTAGTTCTTATTCATAAATTAGGAGCTAATTGAATGAGATTCTAGAAAAAATATCAAAAATTATAATATTATCTACAATCATTTGTTTTGACTGTGATAGGTGAACAAACCTTGTTCGGCTCTGTCTCATTTGCGCGACAGCCGTTTGCGCGAGGTAGAAAAGCGTGATACGAAAAGCGCGATACGAAAATCGCGATACGAAAAGCGCGAGGGACAAAAGCGCGACGGAACAAAAACGTGACAGGACGAAAGCCCGATTGACAAAGACGCGACTGGACAAAAGCGCGAGGAACAAAAGCGCGAGAGACAAATACGTGACGGAACAAAAAGGCGACTAGAATAAAGCGCGATGGACATAGACAGGACAAGACGAAAGCGCGAAAAACAAAAGCGCGAGGGACAAAAACGCGACGGAACAAAAACGCGACTGGACATAAACGCGACTGGATAAAAGCGCGAGAAACGAAAGCGCGACGGAACAAAAATGCAAATGAATAATAACCCGGTTGGTTTTCAATTTTATTCAGAAATTTCCAAACTTACTCATAATAACCCGGCTAGTTCGCAATTTTAATCAGACATTTTCAAACATACCCATAATAACCCGGATTTTACAATTTTAATCAGACTACCAAACTTACCGATAATAACCCGGTTAGTCTGCCATTTTTATCAGACATTTCCAAACTTACCTATAATAACCCAGAGTTCACAATTTTAATCAGGCATTACCAAATTTACCGAAAATAACCCAGTTAGTTTGGGTTAGTTTGCAATTTTAACCAGACATTACCAAACCCACCGATAATAATCCGGCAGGAATGAGGGGGTGACCAAAGTTCAGTCGCGCGGGTTATTATTGGTAAGTTTGGAAATGTCTGAATAAAACGGCAAAGTAATCGGGTTATTATCGGTAAGTTTGGAAATCTCTGATTAAAGTTGCAAACTAACCGGGTTATTATTAGTAAGTTTGGAAATGTCTGATAAAAATTGCAAACTTACCAGTTTATTATGGAGAAGTTTGGAAATGTCTCATTAAAATTGCAAATTGACTGGGTTATTATCGGTAAGTTTGATATTGTCTTCTAGTCCATTTGCATTTTTGTCCCTCGAGTTTTTGTCCCTCGGGCTTTTATCCAGTCACGTTTTTATCCGTCGCGCTTTTGTGCAGTCGTGTTTTGTCCAGTCCAGACTTATTCTTGGGAAATTTAAGGGAAGCTGTGATATGTAAAAGAAACGAAATTTTTTTGAAACGTCTACTTTATTATTAAAGTAAATCGTACCGTTCTCGACCTGAAATTCTCGAGGGGAAAGAGAACGGCAGGAAAACCCTCGATCGATCATCCCCCAAAAATCAAAACATACTGAGTCATTAAATGATAATTGTGAGTCATTAATTCAATAATCAATAATTTAAGTCAATGATTCAATAACTCAATAAAAGTTTAAATTATGTACCTACCATCCTTTGTCTTTGTACTAAAATTTTAATTCCACACACACAGCCGGTCTGCCAACAGGTTCTGAGGTCTCATACGGGATGCTACTTAGCTATAGTTGTTATTTTGAGCCCATATCTCTTTCCTTTGTTGGTAGGACATTCGCTCGTCAGGGTAGGAAAATGTTAGTATATTCAACAAGACCCTAATGTACGCTCTGAATACCAAAAATCAAAATCCCAGTACAAAAAACAGCACATAATGTCCGTCGTTTTTATTCTGATACTCGAAATGAATGTGATAGCACCCTATATTAAAACGCCAATGGTCACCTGACGTCACACCTGTTTTTGTCATATACTTCACCCCCTTGCTCCTCATACGGAAAGTGTCAGATAAAAATCGATGAACAATATTTTCTTAGGTTTTTTTAATTTACTCTTTATTTGTCTTGTTTACAACATGCAAAGATTTTTGTTAAATACATGAACAATGCCCATGTTATAAAAAAAATTATAAACAGACAAAAATGGATAAAAATAAAAAAGAATAGGTACTTGTATAAATTTAACTCTCAAAAACAAAATAACAATTATTCAACTGACCTGTGAATGCTCCTTTTGACACACAAACTAATCACAAATTGGATTGAACAACAACATAAAAATTGAATAATGAACAATGGCAGACAAGCGACTTAAGGAACCAGCCCAGCTTCTTCTCTAGTCTAGTCGTCTAGTTCCCTATTCTCTTCTACCTACCCTTTCGGTAAGCTTTTCGTTGCGGCGCGTCCCGTTCCCGTAAACTTTACAGCGCATTACATGGTTGCAATATTCGTTTTTTTTTTTGTTAAGATTCAAAAAAACAATATTTTAAATAGATGGTTTTCCACTCATACTTATCAACTGGCCAAAAAAAAGTATGGAAAAGAATCCAGAATAATGTTGAGAACTTCAAACACTGAAAATGATACAGTTCTTCATAATATGAAAATCTAAATCGCTTTTTCTTTTTGTGTGCTTTACATCCCAACTAATGAAAGCCTTTCAAATTCTTTCAGATTTATTGGTTTCTCAAAACAACTTATTGAGAAACCCATCGCACGAATTAAGGTCAGTCTGTTTTATACCCTTAAAGCTAGCATTGGAAAGCAAAAAAAGCAAACTTGTATCGCTAGCTCTAACAGGCTTAAACGTAAGTGTCGAATAAGTGACACAATTGATGTTTTGTAAGAAACTTTTACAGAAAATCATCCGTGACGAAAGATTCCAAACTGGTACAGAACCCGAAGACGATTCCTTATGGCTACCAGCCCAGCTACTGTTAGCTACATCTTCGATGCTAGCTCATTGCGAAGATACCCAAGTTCACATACTAAGAGTGGTGCTGAATCTAGCTTGTACAGCCAGTTGGGCCTTGAATGGACGTCTAGTGATGCTGTTGCTGAGCCGGTGCGGCGAAGCTTACGAGCTAGGGACTCAGCCAATCAGGGCTTCAGCTCAGGCGGCTGCTAGTCAGACTTTGACGGCTTTTTGTACATTTTTAGATGAAGAATGTCAAGAGATTTTACAACAGCAACAAAAGCACAAAAACTCTGGAAGCAGCGCTGAAATGGTCTACAATAAAACAACAGCGGTGGCTTGTTTTAACGAAGCCATCCCAGTGATGCAATACATTTGTAGTAAGCTTGAGGAAAATAAAATGTAAAATTGTATTTTTTGTAAAATCTTCAAACTAAAATTGATTTTTTAGGCTTCCAAAATCGAATGATTCAACAATATTTCTTCTTGAATGTCTTCTCACGTTGGCAAACACCCTTCCACACACCGTACATTCCAACATACATTTCACTACGTTTTTGTGGCAAAGATTTTGTCCTGCTTTGTTGGCTTTATTAGGATCACCCGGCGATTCTTCTGGACAAGGACTTACTAATAATCAAGCAAAAATTGTTTATAGGTAAAGTTAATGATTTATTGAATTATTTCAACCATTCACACATGCAATTATTATAGTATTGGTATTCAAGTTGTGCGACTAGTAGGCAGAGAACGACCCTTAAGGCCAGTCCTAGAAGCCCTTTTCCACCGTATCCTTTTGCTACCCAGCCCAGCTAGAAGATTGGAGCCTTTGAGAGCAGCCCGGGAGCTTCTCAGATCCCCTGGAAGACTGGCAGATCTGCTTTTACTAAGTGGTCCCAGTCACAGACATGCAGGAGATGATATGGCAATTATAAGACTGTAACATTTTCAAATAAATAAATAAAGATTCCTTGAAAATATTTTGTTTGTAGGATTATGGACTCAATAGAAGAATCTTCCCAATGCAACGACCACAGTGTAGTTTTAGCAAGTGTAGAATGCGTAGGAGCTCTACTAGGTTCTCTAGAAGCTTTATGTAGAGGCGAAGGCCTGAACCAAGAAGCTGCAGATTTAGCAAATAGCCGATATCCTTTACTAGAACATGCTGATTATACTGGCCCTTTAACTTACCAATCCTTGGCTAGATTACCAAAACCTTACCGTGACGTTGTGGCTAATTTACGTTATCAAAGTGACTCGTCTGATAGTAGTGGCATAGAGGGAAATATGCGCGAAGAAGGTGAAGAGTCTGATTGTTCGGGAGCCACAGAAGGTCCTGAAGAAGAAATTAGCCATTCGGACGACAGTATTATGGACGATGATAGTTTTTTGACCAATCAGCAATTGCAAAAACTTTACAAGCTTCCAAAATCGTTAAACTTAGGCCGAGCTGGCTTGGATGAGTGTAATACCGATATAGAGAGGCACAACGCTAGACATTTTGTGAAAACTCTGCAAAACATCTTACTACCAAATTTACTAAGCTTAAGATCATCCATACAAGTTGATGAAGTTTTACAGGAATTTGCTTCAAAGTGTTGCCAACACAACTCAGCGCAAAGCTACGAAATTTCAACGATAATGAACGCTGACGGTATTTATTTAGCCACTTATTCAGCCTTGTTGCTGGATTTGAAATTAATCCAAGCAGGACATTATGAGGAAATTAAAAAAGAAGTAACCGTTCCAACGACAGAAGTGCAATTTGTAGAAGAGATCCATGGAAGTGGAATTTTGGTGTACGTGTCAGCAACTTGGCTATGCGAGCTTTATCAAAATGTACTGGCAAAATCGTTACTTTTATGTGCCGGGTATGAACCTAAGAACCGTCAACAGCCAGCTTTGATCAACTTACTAACAGATGTTGGAGGTTTATCTCCGTCACAGCTGTTAACTGACTGGCAAAAGCTCCAAAAAGTCCAAGCAACTCCAGAAACAAGCCCCGAAGTTGACGCTGGAGTAAAACTATCCAGAAGAGTATTGACTTGTTGCTGGAGCTCGGTGGTTTCCGTTTTGGGCACACCTCTAAGGGAAAAACCACTGTTGGGAGGCACTTCAGCTTTGAGCAGGCTGGTAGCACGTAGAACACGACAAAAATACAGACAAAAAATTAGGGACGATATCATAACGGCTAGTTTGGAAGGGCTGCATACTGCTGCAAGTTTGAGTAATACTTTGAAGTTGCAAACGAGGAGCAGTAGCATTTTGGCCTTGTTGTCTGCTACTTCTTGTAAAAATAATTATTCTGCTAAATTGTTGGCTTCGCATGCTTTATCTTTGGATGTTCTATTATCTAAAGGTGAGTTTCTAATAATGTTATCACAAATATAGAACTAGTGTGAAGTATTTTATTATTCAATTCCACTATAAGTCTCAATTTCCTACATGTACTTACAATTTTTCCTTATTTTCACTATACTATTTTAATAAAATATATCTTTTGCTCACTTAGAGTACGCACATAATGTAGTTTAAGCATTTTAAATTTTCATTAAAACTTCTCGATTCGCGTCTGTCAGCTGATAATATTTCCTCAAAATGCAAATTCTGACAAACAAAAATCGATTTTGAATCATTTTTGATCTAACAATTATTCTATTGTCATTATCAGGTTTGGAATTGGGTTGCTACAGTCCAGCATGTTGGCCTCACGTTTTCAGCGCTTGTGTGGCAGTAGCCAGCTTGGAGCATTCCTTATTTAGTAAAACTGGCTCCAGTCAACTGCTTATGGTAGCTCAAAACACCCAGAACAACATTGTCACATCGACAACCAAGCCTGGAAACCAAGATAAGCTTAGCTTTAATAATAGCGACGAGGAAACTTGGTAGGTAACAATTTTAATATTTTAAATTAATACCTATAAAGGATCTTTTATTTTTTAGTGTGGATGTGTATAGTTTTCTTCATAGCAGCTCCTACTCGTACGAGCAAAGTAATTTTTCCAACGAAACCACTATTGCAGATATAGTAGAAAAAAGCGGAGCCAATAACGCGCAAGGACAAGGATTACTGCGCGGTGTGTATGCAGCTAAAGTATGCTGCGCATTATCGCAAAAAGCTGACGAACTTTTCCACGCAGCTGCGCTTCGATTATCTTTACCGGGATTGTGCAGCTTCATGACTGAACTGTGTAAAGCTTCACATACCCAGGTATCGTACCAATACTTACTTGTATACAGACCAGACCAAACCTACTAGACACATAAGACGAATTAGTTTGTACCCGAAGTTTATAGTCGAATTTTAATACCATGGGTATCAGACAACTGGTCCCATTGAAACCTACGTGTCTAGTAGCCTGATCCTGTCTGTATCTATATGAAGACTGATTCGTAATGTAATTCTAGCTCTTCACCAAATACGAAGAAGCATCAAACATATCAAAAAAATGGTGGAAAAAGGACTTGGAAATCCAACAAAAACCTCCACCAACCTTACTTTTGCACCGCATCGGTGAAGTAACATTAAAATGCATAAAATCTGGACGTCCTTTGATTCATATTATGAAACTATGGTCCATCGTGGGTCCACATTTCATGCAAGCGGCTTGCCATAAAGACAGGGTGGTCTCCAAAAAAGCAGTAACATGCATCCACGATGCCGTGACCGCTTTGTTAAACGAACAAGCTGAATTACCGCATTTCCATTTCAACGAGGCCCTTATAAAACCGTTCGAGAATTTATTGTGTTTGGAGTTGTGCGATTTGGATGTTCAGGATCAAATTGTCGCTTGCTTGTGCGAATTCGTTGAGGCTAACAGGACTGAAATTTGCTCGGGATGGAGACCTCTGTTTGGCACGCTCAGAGTAGCTAACGCTAAAAACAATTCGACGGCTATTTTGGATGTTTTCAGGATTTTCTTGTCAACTGATAATACTTTGGTGTTTGCCAATGCTGCTTTGGATTATATTTTGTGTTTGTTGTCGCATATTAAAAATTCACACTACGAGGATGTTACTGGAGATGCTTCTTTACCAGCTACTCCAAGTAGTCTCAATAAAAAACCTATAGGATTCTTTGATAAAGATATTGAGTTTCCTACGAATCTTTTAACGATTGATCTTTGCATCGAATCATTGAAACTTCTCCAAAATTGTTCGGAAATTTTATCAATGATGTACAACATGCCAAAATGTCCCAACTTTAATCTTTCCCACAGAGTCAATATCGATACCGATCCTCAACTAGTCGATCCTATTATGAAAGATTCTGAAATTGTTAGTTTTAGTCAAATCGATAATGATCAAGTTGATTATGAGATACTTCATACAAAGTTGGACTTCAAGGAATGTGAAAAGGAGAAAATTACATTGTCTGAGCTAGATACTCAGAGTGGAGTGTTGAAGGTTTATTATATCTTAATAGGTGAGTATAATAAATTTATATCAACTCTCAATAGAACAATGTAATGTTTTGTAGATGGTTTATCATCCTCCATAATCTTATCGTCTCCCAAAAATCAACCATTCGTAATCGAAACACTATTCAAACTAATGAGAGACCTAATGACAAATCCTGGAGTGAACTTTGGATTTTGTTGCATCAACCACATCCTTTTACCGATGGTACAAAATTGGTTGAGACAGAACGCAAAAGTCCAAAAGCCTGACGTGGAAATTTGGCAAAATTTCAAACATTGTTGCGGATTAGCCAGCGAATTGGTCGTTGATTACTTATATAATATTCATACAAGTAAAAAATCGGATAACCCTGCAGCCACGTTAGCTTTGAAGCAACTTTTATTGATTTTAATCGAATGCGTCGCACAGCCTCATGAAAATGTAGCCCGATTGGGCACCTCATGCCTGCGTCACATAATACTGAATCTTGGCAAGATCCTAGCTGAAAATCAATGGACTATTTTGGTTACAGCTCTACATAGAGCTTGTTACATTAGTTTGTGTCCCTTATATCAGCTTAGTTTAGCTTTTAAAGAAAACTCTGATAGCTTTTATGGGGATTTGGCTACAGTTAAAGTGGCAGCTAGAAAAGATAGCAATGTAGCTGAAAATGAACGACTTTATGAGCTAGCACAGCAAGTATTCCTAATGCCTTTTCAAAGGAATTGTGGAAAATGTCCTGGTAAAAATTGCGATTGTGAAAAAAGCATTGTCATTGATGATAGAAGCTATGTGTTTTTACTCTATCCTTTTGATTGTAGCACTTTATTGAATCCTGATATGTATACCATAAGGGTACCATTTAGAAATTTAGTTGTAGGGATTCTAGCGCACCAAATGCTAATACAAACAATTTCCAGTGCTTTGTTGCAAAATTTAAAACATGTCACACCAATATTGAATATCTTACAAATCAATTCTTGCAGCTTGAGAGGTATTTTACCAAAAGTCAATGCCGAGCATGTCAATATGCTTCTGAAGTGTCTGGAAATTTCAAATATCAAAGCCAAAGAGTTCGATATGAGACCGGGTCTGAAATTCCTGACTCAGAAAGTAGGAAATTTGTGTAAGAGCGCAAATTTGTATACTCAGGCTAACACGTCTGAGGTTGTGCAAATAATTGTGCTTATCGAGCTTTGCTTGGATGGAATCGAACGATACAACATTGAACCGAAGAATATGAAAGAAATTTTGGCTAAAGAAGATGGTGCGGATGTTGAGGGTAATAATTTTGGATTTTTGGATGAGTTTTTGAGGAAATTGCATTATAAATGGGAACGGTACGTTCATCAGCTCAATTATTATGGGATGATTCTTTTTAATGAAAATTTGTTTTAGATTGTGTGAATCTTATGTTAATCTTACAATAAATATTCCTGAGGAAACGACTGAAGAATTAACAGAAGAGGGACCAGAACCGCAGGTATGCTATACTAAAATAGTAATTTTAATTTGCATCAAGTCTATACAAACATTATATTTCCGTATAAGTAATGTAGCATCCGCGCCAAGTAGGTACTCTATTATTCAGGTTAGATGGTAAATTGCGAGCGGTCGTATTTGATGGTGATTATTTCCTTGGTCAGCTACTGAAAAATAAAATTGTTAGGGCGGATCTATTTGCAATTGAAAGAAACAACTGATTTATATGGTTATCTGTTAATAATTATACTTTATTAATAAGAAAATAAACAGTATTCGTTTCCTATAACCATGGTACGAATTTTCTAAACCCTAATCCAATACCTTTCAATACAAAAATTAACAATCCTAAATTGATGCAATCATACAGCCACCTCTACACTGTCTCTGAGCTTGTAAATCAAATGATGCAACCAAAAAGCCTTGTACTTAACACTTTCATGTAGCCCTACTACGTTAGGTACAATATTTTTAAATCCTAAACACCTCAAAACAATAATTCATAATTTAGTTTTATTATTATAACTTCCTGTTCAATAGACGTATAAAATACCTGAACTCGCTTACTGCCAAATTGTGTATAATACTTATACTTAAAAATAGTGTACTTAGCCAGAGTAAATACTATCAAAACAATGAACATTTTATCTAAATTCATTTAAATAATAACCAAAATATCTAACTAGTCATTTGCTAAACCAGTGGCGTATCAACCCAGCTCCGGGCCTGTGTGCCAAAATCTCCGCGGGCCCATTACAGGTCCTCCTTTTGGGTGCCACGCCAAAATTTTGATCCAAAAGTCGTTCAAAAAACACTCCTAATTTTTTTTTAGGTATATTTTTCCTTAAACGTTAAACTGTGAATTCATTATTTTCGAAATTGGTATGAATAACTATGTATAGTATTTTTAATCCGACTTGAAACACTTGAAAAACCTCTAGTCGGGCGTCACATAATTTTTTTTTTTTTTTAAATGGTGATAATCAATATCAAACAACACAACTAAATAATACGTGGAATAAAATAGCAAATAATATATAAATTGGGATGACACTGGTTATAGAAATCGCGTAGTCTAGTCAACAGTTGCACCTACATCGTTTAGGGAAAACATAAGTTGCCCACCCCAATAATTAAACCTATAGGCATGTGCCGACTTAAATTATTAATTTGGGCAACTGTAGCGATATTTCGTCGCTACTTATGTTTCATACCGGGTGATTGTCTATATTTTGCACCCATACCTATCTCACCTGTTTGAAGAGATACCCAGAAATGTCAAATGTTAAAGTTCTAGGTAATATCAGAAACTTTGCAATTAAAGTTAGTTACAAGTATACAGGGTGTATCACGAAAGTGTGGCGTCTGTGGCGAAGCAAAGTTATACTTTTTCAAATGGAATACCCCGTATATTATTGACCTATCGGATTACCCTTTCAAACCTGATTCTAAATATACTAGGTTTTTAAGGTTTATTCCTCATAGTCCAGCCTTTGAATTTCTCATTTTGAAGAAATGATGAATGATAACCTACCTTTATATTTTGCTGGTGGTCTCTATACTTCACCTTTTGCAATAAAAATGCAATTATTTCGCCCCTTTTTTTCTTATTTTCTCCCGGACTATTAGGAACTGAACCTGGAAAACCTAGTATATTTGGAATCAGGCTTGAAAAGCTAATCCAATGGGTCAATAATAAATGGGGGTATTCCATTTGAAAAAGTTCAACTTTGCTTTGCCACACTTTTGTGACTGTACATACTTTTAACTAACTTCATTGAAAACTTTCTGATATCACCTACAACTTTCACACTTGACATTTCTGGGTATCTCTTCAAACAGGTGAGATAGGTGTGGATACAAAATAAAGACAATCAACCGGTACATACAGGAGGGCTGAAGGGAAACTTACAGTAGATTTTCTATGAAATTAATAGAAGAAGAGCGACGTGATGCTGAAACATCCTCGTATAATGCAGTGTTTCAAGTCAGAATAAAAATACTATACCGCTGCCGGTATTTTTTTGCGCGTAGATAGACTATTGCCCATACATTATTCATTATTATACCGGGTGGGGCACGAAAAACTTTCCACCCAGGTTTTCTCAGGTGTTAGGTGTTTAATCAAAAATCGCTCAGACACTTCAATTTTTGTTTTTTGGGGGACACATTCTATTGGTATTTTCACCCCCTACCTGTGAATCCCTAAGTGGGGGTGACAGGTACCCACAAAATTTCAAATGAAATGGGGGGTCGAATGATACGTCATTTAATAGCTATTTTCATTGAGATTATATCCCCGAAGTTTCAAGTTGCTACTATTTACCTTGTCGAAATAGCGGCTTGTCAAAGTTGGGAAAAATCAATGGAAAAATGCTGTGTGGTTTTTACCTGTTACCTACGCATAGGTGTGACAGGTAAAAACTATACAGCTTAGATTATCGAAAAAAAGCATTTATCCTAACTTTGACATGCCGCCATTTCGGCAGGGTTAATAGTAGCAACTTAAAACTTCGGAGATATAATCTCAATGAAAATAGCTACCAAATGATATATCACTCGACCCCTCTTTCCATTTGAAATTTTGGGGGTACCTGTCACCCCCACTTAGGGGTCCACTGGTAGGGGGTGAAAATACCAATGAAATGTGTCCCCCAAAAAAACAAAAATTGACGTGTCTGAGCGATTTTTGATTAAACACCTAACACCTGAGAAAACCTGGGTGGAAAGTTTTTCGTGCCCCACCCGGTATGTACAGGGTTATTTTTAGAGATAGAAAAAAATGGACCCCCCACTCTGAGGCTCAAATTTCATGAAATCTTGATTGGTGCAAACCGCATTTTGATATCTTCAACCGTTTAGCCACTAGAGGGCGATTCTCGATTTTGAGCAATACAGTAAAGCCTGTCTGGCTTCGCTTTCGAGATATTGACCAAAATCCGATTTTTTTCAATGGGACACCCTATATATTAATAGTTCATTAGAAAGCTATGCTTTCGCTGATTTCAATGATATAAACAGTTTTCGAGAAAAAAAAAATATTTCGGTTTTTGTCATAAGAAACAATGTGTTAGAAAGAGGCCTTTCTCAGTTTCCTTACAGAGATAAAGTCCTTTTCCAACACATTGTTTCTTATGACAAAAACAGACATTTTTTTTTTCTCGAAAACTGTTAGAGATAAACCTATCGAACTTTATATCCTTGAAATCAGCGAAAACATAGCTTTCTAATGAACTATTAATATATAGGGTGTCCTATTGAATTGAAAAAAATCGGATTTTGGTCAATATCTCGAAATCGAAGCTAGATAGAAAAAAACTGAGAACGTCACTGGATTCTGCTTAAAAAAGTGCTTCCAAAAGGTCTTTACGGAAATGAATTATTTACATCAACCAAAAAGTTATGGAGGCTTTACAGTATTGCTCAAAATCGAGAATCGCCCTCTAGCGGCTAAACGTTTGAAGATATCAAAATGCGATTTGCACCAATCAAGATTTCATGAAAGTTGAGCCTCAGAGTGGGGGATCCATTTTTTTTTCTATCTCTAAAAATAAAGGGTGCTTCCATAAGAAAGTGTCCAATTTGGCCCACCCTGTACAAGCAAAAAAATAAAAAGACAATTAATAATTTTAGGTCTTTTATCTTTTGATACATTTTTTTTCGGTTTCGATATGGAGCTCACGGGCCCCTTTCGGAGCCGGGCCTGTGTGCTTCGCACACATGGCACACCGGTAGATACGCCACTGTACTAAACGGAACAAAACAGTCAATTTGATTATCCAAACTCTTCAGTAAAATTCATTTCAATTAATAGTTTTTTGAATTAAATTCCCTATCTATACTAAACACAAATATATTCAAATTTATTCAAGATAATAATAGTTATGCAAAAAAGTTTCATACTCAATTCACTTCATAGTCATTTCAACATTGATAAAGTCAAAGTAAAACTTGTCACTAGAGTACTTACATTTAAATTATCGTCCTTGAAGTCACTCAATTATTCTAATTTCTTTTAATTATTTAGTGCTCGCACATAATGTTGAACAAATTTAAATGTTCTTTCTTTCACAATTTTCTGTTACTTTTTCATAGTTCGATTTAACGTATTTCTCGAGGCAACAAAATACAAGAAACCCTTCGCGAATTTTATCCGGACTGACATATTAATCTTACTGAAGACTCAAGACTCTAAAGTTATACTGATCTGAACTGAAGACTGACTTAAGACTCGCCCTTTTTATACTATTATTCACCCACCACAATCGACAATATGGGCGGTCATTTGACCATCTGTAATTCAATTCTATTGGTCGACCTAGATATTATTCCAAAAATTTTAACTTGCTCATCGGATGATGAAATCTGTGTCGAAATTGTATGATTATTTGGGGTCAATGAAATCGGAAAGAATGTAGAGGACAATTAATTCAAGGAACTTATGACATTTTTTTGGCTGAATTAGTTTCGGAATAATTCTTTTTAGGTATTTAAACTAGCAGAATTTAAGCAACAATACGAAACAGACAATATCAGTACCCTAAGTACCGATTCGGAAAGTTATTTAGAAAAAGAAGCCTTGCCAAACGTGAAGGATGAGGATAAAATTATGGAAGAATCGCATATGAAAACATTGTCGAAAAGTTCAAGTCTTGACCAATCCCCATCTGATACAACTATCAAGAAAAAGATTGAAAATGGTTATTCCACAGACGACGAGACCAATGAGTTGGCAGCTAAAAGATATGAAGTGGCTTACGAGAAATACAAAGTCGAGCTGAATTCGATTAAATACGACAGAAATACTTTACTGCAAATGAGAGAATCGACCATTTCTAGCGATAATATTATTTTGAGTTGTACCAGACCAGGAGATTTAATTAAATCGTCCAGGTAAACAAATTTAATTTTTAAAAAAACTATAGTTTTACCTATTAATAATTATTATAGTTGCCAACTATGGACAGAAGATGGTAAAATCAATGGCAATAGAAGAATTCTAGTTGGTACCAGTCCTAAATTGGACCCATTTATGCCAGCCACCATACCACCACCTCAACCAGTACCTCCGGAAATTCAACAGCAAAGAGCACTGAGCATTTGCAAGGTACGATTTTATTTTTCAAAAAACTTTAGCCCTGAACCTGTATGTTTTAGGACGCCGAGGCTTACAAAACAACAAAAATCGAAACGATGGAAGCCTGCCTGGAACTTCTCAGCAGTTTGTCGTCAGCAAAACTGTCTCCTTTAGCTTCCATTTTGAAACAAGGGGCTGTAATGTTAGTAGGGACCCAAGACGACAAAATAAAGAAGACTGCTGAGCTTTTGCTGCAACGAATGAATATATCTTACGTGGATCACGATAACTATTAAATGTGCAATTTTGCTTAAGATTTAGTTGATAACTTTCAAGCTAATCGTTTACTGACTAATTTGGTGCTTCTTGAAACAGTGTAATCTAGACATTAATTAACAAAAAATATATAATATATTTACCTAAAAACTAGGAATTTGTTTCAGTTCTACATCCAAGTGAACATTGTCTAACTTTTCAGTGCTGACCAAAGTGGAAGGGCAGATTTCTAGCAAAGTTTAAATAACTTTTCATGTAACTGTATCATATTATAGTATTGTAGTAGCGTGATAACGTTGATACAACGCTGGCGATAACACGTTTCAACAACGTTTAGTCGAATTTTGTTCTTCAGTATTGGTGCAAGACCGACTCTAGGACAAAATCAGTAATTTTCTCATGTAAATCTCCATAAGAAAATCTAAGGTCCGTTCTGGTAATTTTCGTACCATTTTGGAGTGGAGGTAAAATTTCCAGGAATAAGCTCCGCCCCCTTTCCAGTGCCCAGTGGCGTATCAACCCAGCTCCGGGCCTGTGTGCCAATTTTTTTAATAATTAATGTAATTTCCATGATTTTTTGAAAATTTTGTGATTTTTGTTAATCATTTCCCATATTACGTAATTTTCCAATAATTTTCGTAATTTTACATAATTTTTGAAATTTCCATGATTTTTTTTCGTAATTTTTAATTCTCCTAATTTTTCAAAAATTGTAATTCCCGTATTTTTTGAAATATCCGTGATTTTTTGTAATATTCGTTATTTTTCATTTTTATAATTCCTGTAATTTAATAATAATAATCTTTATTTAGCATAATGCTACATACAAAAATCCATACATATAAAAGTTAAAATTTAAAATTAATAATAATATTTCGGTAAATAATAAATAGACATGTATATGAAAAAAAAAAAAATGAATATAAACAAAAATACAACAACAAAAGGTTAAAAACAATTAATAATAATAGTTCGATAAAAAATAAATAAATAGATATATGTATATAAAAAATGAAACAAGTACAATTAAAAACAAATATAAATACAAAGAGGTAACCTTAAACTATGCCAATAAATGAGATCTCACTAATCTTTTAAAAACATTTATGTTATCACAGTCTTTTATAGAATTAGGTAACATATTAAAATCGTACAAGCCCTTATACAGTACAGAATTGAGCATTTGACTAGAATTACACTTATCCATCAATATAAAATCAGAACGATTTCGTGTATCATAATTATGTACCTCTTCAAAAAACTTTATTTTATTACAAATGTATGGTGGTAACTTTTTGTTTTTAATTTTAAATAAAAATACATGGACACAAAATACAATTTTTTGTTTCACAGATAGCATGTTTAATACATTGAGCATTGTGGCAATTGGTGCAAATCTATTACATTTTAAAATAGTTCTCATTGCCCTGTTCTGCACAAGTTGCAATTGTTTAACTTTGAAATTAGGCAAATTGTACAAAAGTGAAGAACAGAATTGGAGATGAGGTGCTGCAATGCTGTTATACAATAACAATTTTGTTACAATACCTTGCTATAAAACCAACTTTCTTGGAAAACTTTCTTGTTATGTAATCTGCGTGCTCGTAAAAATTTAAATGAGAGTCAAATATGACTCCCAAATATTTAATTTGTTTTTCATGTGTTATTTTAACATTATTTATGATAATACTAACGTTCTCCAAGTTAAAATCTGCCAATTTGCTCTTTCTCCCAAATAAACAAAATTTTGATTTTGATGTGTTAATAGAAAGGTTGTTATTGCAAAGCCATTTGAACAAGTTATTTAAATCACTGTTGACAATCTCCTGCATACGAACTATATCCCTTCCAGCTAAATAAATCATCGTGTCATCAGCAAACAACTCAACCTTACAATCGTTCACAACATTAACTATATCATTTATGTACAGCAAGAATAATAAGGGACCCAGAACAGTTCCCTGCGGTACTCCATGCTGAACTTGTAAGGAGTTTGAGAAACTATTTCCAAATTTGACTTTCTGTTGTCTATTGGTTAGATATGACTGAAACCATTTCAACACTTTGCGACCAATACCAATGCTTTTCAACTTTTCTATCAGGATGTTTCTATTAACAGTCTCAAATGCTCTTCTGAAATCAAGAAATACTGTCAAAACAAAATTACCTCTATCTATCTCTTTCAAAAAACTATCAGAAATATTAATAACTACAGACTCACACGAATGACGTTCCCGAAAACCCGACTGATTCATAACCAAAATGTTATTCCTATCACAGTGATCTTGTAATTGACTTTTCACAGCCAGTTCCAATACTTTTTCATAAACCTCAACAGTATTTATTGGTCTAAATTCGCTATGAAGACAAGTATTTTGCACCTTAGGTACAGGAATCACAGTCGACTCAGTTTCCAACCGCATCACATACGTCCCACAAAACTTTTTTGGAAATTCCTTTTTCACCACCCCCGACATTTTTCATATCTTTCAATATAGTTTTTATATCAGATATAGATATTTGTTTGAAATATGAACACTCAGTGTATTGAACATCAGGGGTTGCGTCAAGGTAATTCACTGGGAGGGAATACGTTGGAATACTGCTTATAATTTCTTGAATACTATTTATGAAATATTTATTAAATACGTTGGCAATTATCACTTCATCTGATACTAGTTCATTTTCAAACTTAATTTCATTAGGCGTTGTCGATTTTTTTCCAGGAAGTAGTGTTTTCAAATTTTTCCACGTTTCACGTTGATTAGTTTTATTGCCGTCAATAATTTCTCTTTAGTAACTATCTTTTTCAAATTTGATTTGACTTACTATGGAGTTTCGCACTCTTTTGTATTCCCTCCAGATTTCATCGTTGTTTTCCCTAACGGCTCCCACATACAAACTATCTCTAACATGCATTCTCTGTCTAATATCAGCCGTTATCCAGTATTTGTGAATATATTTTTGTTTCAAAACGATTCTTTGCTTAGGGCACATTGTATTCAAAATATCTGTAATACTGTTTACGAAACTATTTGCTAACACATTCACATCTTCACTATCATTCCTCCATTCAATATCAAAAAGGCAATTTTGTAATTGGTCAGTATTGTAGCTTTTCATAGATCTACGGCAAACAACTATATCACGGTTTTCATTCAATTCCTGATCAGGGTGAATAGAAAGGATGCAGTGGTCACTTATTTTGGGTGTTAAATGAACATTAAATGACAGATCTTTATTGTTTGTCACAATATAATCAATCAATGTTTTACTTTTATCAGTGATACGTGTAGGGGAATCAACAATTTGGGAAAATCCATTCAAATATATATTGGATAAAAAAATTTCACCATAAAATGATGGTTTCAACAAATCGAAATTAAAGTCACCCATTATTATGTTGACACCCTCGAACGCACTCACTTGATCGATATAGCTATTAAAAAAGTCGACAAATCTTGCATTTTCAGTCTGAGGCGGATGATACAAAACCGTACAAAGATACTTAATTCTAGACAAAGAAAATTCAAGGGACAAACACCATACATAGTTCTGCACACACTGTACATTTTTCAATTTATATTTTATGTCGCTTCTTACTAGAGCCATGACTCCACCAGTTCTTCTATTATTTGTGACACACTGTTGAATCTGGTAACCATCAATATGCAATTCACACAGTTCAACTTCCGAACAGACGTGAGTCTCTGACAAAAACAAAAGTTTGGGTTGCCAACCATTTATAAAAACATTTATATTGTCCTTATTATTCAAGTATCCTTGACAGTTAAAATATACAATACTGGAATTAATAGTATATTGTTGTATTAGGAGTAAAAGCTTTACTTTTTTGTGCTGAAGCAGTAGGTTTGCGAGCCGAACGTAGTGAGGCTTGCAATACTGCTGAAGCATAAAAAAGTGCTTCTACTCCGTATGCAACATGCTATTTTTTCTCCAAACTAATGGAATAAGCTCGGGGGCAAGTGGATGGTTGAGCGGCAGTAAAAGTACGAGCGGCACTAAAAGTACTTTTGCTGCCGCTGGGGTTGCCAAGCAGCATAGAAATCAGGTTTCTACTCAGACGTTTCTACCACCTCGACAGGTGTAAACTCGCTGGATTTGCCTAGCAGCATGGAAATTAAATTTCTGAAATCTTGACAGGGGTTAACAAAGTGACGTTTTTTTTGACGTTTGGAGAAAAATGATATTTCAGCATCCAATTGCTATTTAATATAGTATATTGTTGTATTAGGAGTAGAAGCTTTACTTTTTTGTGCTGAAGCAGTAGGTTTGCGAGCCGAACGTAGTGAGGCTTGCAATACTGCTGAAGCCCAAAAAAGTGCTTCTACTCCGTATGCAACACGCTATTTTTTCTCCAAACGAATGGGGTAAGGTCGGGGACAAGTGGATGGTTAAGCGGCAGTAAAAGTACGAGCGGCACTAAAAGTACTTTTGCTGCCGCTCCAGCGACACTAAAAGTACTTCTACTGCCGCTGCGGTTGCCTAGCAGCATAGAAATTAAATTTCTACCACCTCGACAGGTGTTAACCTGCTGGATTTGCCTACCAGCATAGAAATAAAATTTCTGACATCTTGACAGAGATTAACAAAGTGGCGTTTTTTTGACGTTAGGAGAAAAAATTTGTTTTTTTGAATATTTTCAACCCTTTTGAGGGTCTCACAATTATCCCTATCTCAAGAAACATGATCAACATTTAGAGACATTCCATACTTTTTATTCGACAAAACACAATTTGAACATTTATTCACGGTGTTATTACATTCTTTTATATCATGTTCTTCACTACATTTAGGACAAGCTTTTTTCTGATTACACTCTTTACTAAAATGACTAAAATGACCATACTGACAACAATTATAACACCTAATAATACCGTACTCATTAAATACAGGACAGCGGTTCCATCCAATATTCATTGTTTCTTTATTTATAAACAAATTATATGTGTCATCATCCACCTCAAATATCAAATGAAATCTACGGCTTACAACTCTGGTTTTACGCAATATTTTTATACTGAAATTATTATTACCCACATTTAAATCATTTTGCTTTATTACCTTTGATATTATCTCATCATCACCATTAACATATTCCTTTTCGTTCACTCCTACCACTTTGATTCGATGCTGCAACATTTTGGGTCTATCTACACTGTAGGTTTCACCAAGCTTGTTTTGAATTTCTGATTGAATGTTTGTTATGGTTTTTTCGCTGCCACAGTTAAGAATGAGGCCGCCTTTTTTTGTAGACCGTCCTATTGTGACACCAATTCCGATTTCCGTAGGATCGACTTTGCTTTTTAAATCCTCCTTTAATTTTTTGATATCTTTTTGTTCGCCCTTTTGATTGATGACCAATATTTTATTGTTACTTTGTGCAACCGACGCATATGATTTTTCAGGCACACGATGTAAAATACTATTTCCACATTGAGTGCCTTTTAAGTTGGATATTTCTTCTTTAAGATTACGATTTTCAACTATTAGTAATTCAACTTTTTTGTTTAATTCATTAGTTTGGCTTAACAAGAGCTCCAATGTTTCATTCATTCTATCAATAATACTCTGATCAATGTATGTGTTTTCAACACGGCTTCTTTTTCTTGGCCTTTCAGGTTTGTTTTCGGATTCTGGGCATGCCTTGCACTTCCAGGTGGATTTTTTCATGTGAAGACCCCGCAAATCAATGTTTTCACATTTTCCGTGATAAAACTGTTTACATACAGTGCATTCCACAATCGATTTAACATCATCAAAACCCAATTTACACTTTGCACAATTTAAATTACGATCGGTCTCATCTACGCGTCCGTCCCCCATGACGAACGGACCTAAAATTTACGTAATTTATCAATGACTTTTGAGGTTCTACGTAATATTTGAAATTGCCAATAATTTCCATTGCTTTTGTAATACTCAAATTTTATAAGTCTGCTTTTTAGTTTTTAATAATGGTGGTTTCCGTAACTTTTTAAATTTTTCGTAATTTTTGTTACTTTTCCGTTATACGTTATTTTCCAATATTTTCGAAATTTTAATAATTTTTGAAGTTCCCCTAATTTTTTTCGTAATTTTATAATTCTCCTAATTTTTTTCAAATTTAATTTTCGCAATTTACCCATGATTTTCGCAGTTCTAGATAATTTTTGAAATTCCCGTGATTTTTGTAATTTTTTCGTAATTTCCGTAATTTGCTAGTGATTTTTGCAATTTCACGTAGTTTTTGAAATTCCCGTAATTTTTTAAAATAATTTCCATTACATAAGTATATCCATTCCCGGTTTTTTCGTAATTTTGCAATTCTCATTTTAATTTTTCAATAATTGTAAGTGCTTTTATTTTTTTAAATTTTCATGATATTTGCAATTTTAATGATATTTTTTTGTAGTTTTCGTATTTTATGTAATTTTTCAATTATTTTTGTAATTTTGCATAATTTTTGAATTTCCAGTATTTTTCAATGTTTTTTATTTTCATTGCTTTTGTAATACCCGATTTTCTTGTAATTTTTTAATTTTCCTCTTAGTTTTTTAATAGTTAATGTATTTTCAGTGATTTTTCAAAATTCCCGTGATTTTTGCAATTTTTCCGATTTTTTTCATTTTTTCGCGATCCCTGTAATTTTTGAAATTTCTATAATTCTCTAATTTATTTTTATTAATTCTATATTTTCCGTATTCCTGTATTTTCCGTAATTTTTTAATTGAATTTTTATAATTTTCCTAATTTTTGTGATTTCCGTAATTTTTTGGGGAATCTTCGCAAATTCGGTAATTTTTTGAATTTTTTCGTAGTTTCTAATATTTTTCAATTTTTGTAATTCTTTAATAAATTATTTTCGTAATTTTTTAATTCTTTTAATTTTTATAATTCTAATAATTTTTTAAAAATCTAGTAACTTTTTGTAGTTTTGAAATTTTTGTAATTTTCGTAAAATTTTCCGAAATTTTTGCAATTCTTATATTTTTTAAATTATCAATTCAGAACTATAGGAATTATATACATAATTCAAAATTTCAAAAAATATTCTGAAATTACAAAAAAATAGGGGAATTACAGGAATTATCCAAAAATGCAGGAATTACTCAAAGTTATTCAAAATTACAAGAATTATTTGTAAATTACGGAAATTTTCTCAATATTACAGAAAATTACAGAATTTACGAAAAATGGAAATAATGAAAAATTACGTTAATAACGAAAAATTACGAGAATTATGGACATTACGAAAAACTATGGAAATTACAGAAATTATTGCAAAAATTTTAAAATTTTCAAATGGAAAATCACTCCATAAAAAATTCTGGAAAATTGACTTATTTAAGCAAAATTAAGGAAAATTCACTTCTTACATCTTAATTTTTTTCTGGAAAACTGGCAGAGGGAAAATTCTGAAAATTTTCCAAGAAAAAGAGGAAAGTGAGGAGCTCATTATAGGAAAATTTCGAAATTTTTTAGTGAGAAATCATCAAAATAGTCAAGTTAAATTAAGGAAAATTCATCCTCTCACATTTCAATTGTTTCCTGGAAAATTGGCAAAAGAGGAAAAAGAGGAAAGTCAGGAGCTCATTATAAGAAAATTTCAAAATTTTCCAATGGAAAATCGCTCCAGGAAAAATTCTGAAAAAATGATTTTTTCAAGTAAAATTAAGAAAAACTCATCCTCTCACATTTTAATTTATTTCTGGAAAACTAATAAAGCAAAACTTGTGAAATTTTTCCAGAAGAAAGAAGAAAATGAGGAGTTCATTATAGGAAATTTTCAAAATTTTCTAGTGAAAAATCACTCTAAGGAAAGTCAATAGGAAAGTTCTGGAAAATTGACTTTTCTTAGCAAAATTCATCCTTTCACATTTAAATTTTTTTTTGGAAAACTGCTAAAGGGAAAATTTTGGAAATTTTCCAGGATAAAGAGAAAAGTGAGGAGCTCATTATAGGGAAATTTCGAAATTTTCCAGTAAAAAATCACTCCAAGAAAAATTCAAAGAAAATTGACTTATTTAGGCAAAATTAAGGAAAAATCATTGAGGTAGAATAATAAGGAGGCGACATAAGGAGAAAAAAGCGTATCCCACTTCCGCCATATTGTTACGACACTTCTGTCTGAGATTCTGTCACTTTTGTCATAGCAACGCGTCAAAATTGCATCAGGGACGACGCATTTTCCATCGGAAAATTTTTTAAATGCGAAAAATTTTTGAAGCCTAGAATTCCTATTTTGGGTCTTGGAAGGATCTCCTGTTTCAGTATGTTGAAGTTTCTGTAGCTACTTTTTTTTTCATGGTGTAATCTCGATTTTTTTACGTTTTTTTTTGTAGTTTCGCTATGGAGCTCACGGGCCCCTCTCGGGCCCGGGCCTGTGTGCTTTGCACACATGGCACACCGGTAGATACGACACTGCCAGTGCCCGTATCTTTCATTGATCGCACTACGAGGTACCTCATTCAAGGTGCCTCGTACTGATGATGACGTAACTAATAATAAAATCCGCCTCGTGCTTTGTCTAGTTGCAGATGCAAGTTGCACGAGGCGGGGGCCAACTTTTAGGTTATGAGTTTTAGGTTATGTAAATGGGGCTCGGAGAACAAAGCGCCAGAAATTGGGGGCCTGTAATACGGGTCAGTTCAATAGCTGTATCAGACCAATCTCTAGACCTGTTTAGCTGCATACAGACCTGTCTCTAGACCTGCCTAGCTGTATACAGACCTGTCTCTGGACCTGTATGGCTGCATACAGACCTGTCTCTAGACCTGTATACAGACCTGTCTCTAAACCTGTATAGCTGTATACAAACCTGTCTTGAGACAGGTCTGTATACAAGTCACAAAGTGCTCTGTGTATTCGATGAGCCGCTTGGAGCCAGGTACGGTCTAACGTGGAAATTTTATCCCCACTCCAAAATGGTACGAGAATGACCAGAACGGACCTTAGATTTTCTTATGGAGATTTACATGGGAAAATTCCTAATTTTGTGCTAAAACCGGTGTTGCACCTTCACTCTCTTCTCTTCATAACATTATTTCCTTGCAGGAGTTCATTTATTTTCTTCTAGCTCATTCAAATTTATCCGGAGTTGTTTGACATTGAAGAAAAAGGCAAATTTTCTTTTATTACATTATTTTATTTATAATAAAAAACGCTAAACATATTTACATTTTACAACGATATTGTCAGTCATCATTAATACCAATCATAATAGTTTTTCTTTTAACATTTTTTTTACAATATTGATTATGTTTATCAAAGGTATTATTCCTGCAGTTTCTTTATTGCTATTACTTGTGTTTTTAACAGTAATAATTAACAAACAAAAACGGTGTTTTTGTACTTATAACATATCGATTGTCAATTTAAAGATTATAAAAAAAATGACATCATCATTATTATCATGTTTCATCTTCTGCAAGATCAAATACTTAACAAACCTTGCTCAACATTTTCTCTTTTCATCAACAACTTGCCAACTATACAATTTAACATTTTATTTATTATACATCAGTCAAAAATTACAACTTACTTTTAATCAATTTTAAAATTATCCTTTTTCAAGAATAAGCTCAACAAAATATTACAGATCAAGATATGGACAAGGAATATACACAGGAAGTTTCATTAAGACATTTTTCTCTTATGCTTATATCAGTTATGTAGGTAGGGATCAATTACAAAATACAAGCTAAGAAGGACAAATTATAAAAGAGGATGGTTAAAAAGAACAAACCTTTAACAACAACAAAAGTTTAAAGATAACCAAATTTGAACTTTCTTTAAAAAAATTGACCAATCTGTTAATTTCTGCCATCATTCTCATTCAAAAACAAAATCTAACACAGCCCGCTCTTAAACTCCAAAAAAGTATGTTCAGTCACTGACACTATCACATTTCTCTGATCCCTTTTCCAACTTTTCACTATCACCGTTACAGCTATCACTAGAGTAGCGAGTACCACAAAAGCAATTGCACCCAGAGCAATCGAATTCAAATGAGCAAAAATAAAATTCGACGCCACAGCACAATTGGATTCCTGCTCGTCGTTTCCCGAGGGACAGTGCGGCAAGCCGTCGCACCACAATTTGGAACTGATACAGGCCCCTAATTCGGGACAACTGTGAGGACAGTCCGGTGCCCTGATATAGGGACTCGGTAGAGCCAACGCGGGATTTTTGGAGATTTCCATCCAAGTTATTAGAAAGTTTCCAGGTTCTCTTCGGAGAAACTCTATAATGAAACTTCGTGCGTTACGATTTTGCAGTTTTTTGTAGCTGAACATGCTCCAGCCTTCTGAAAACAGCTCGACAGTATCGGAACTGGATGATGGACAAATTACATGATAGTCTTCCGAGTGACCTGCTGGATAAATTAGAATGCGATTTTTGCTTGGGCAAAGACGAGAGTCTCTGCGTTCGTTTCCACGGACTTTTAAATAGATAAAATTGCAATCTTCTTCGGGTTCGATGAGCCATGGTTGGTGTAAGCAATAACTAGAATTTATAGGTTTTTATTGATTAATAAAAATTGATTAAAATAATATTTACCTTATTGATTGATTGCTTGCAATATCGTTATTGTCAAATTTTTCCATTAAATGCTCTTGGTTGTCGTTTCTTATACTGATTTCTCCGCTTGAACCTCGCAATCTGCGACTTTTCCAGGGATTGAAGCAGTTATTTGTACTGTCCGGAGTTAAAAATTCGAAAGTGGCATCGAAAAAATAGCTGCTGTAGTCTTCAGTACTCAGCATATTTGTAACTGAAAGAATAATGTTATAAAATAATCTGCCTTTGTTTGGACAAATTACCTGTAAATTTCACAACCAACTTCCTTGTAGCTTTACTAACAATAACAAAAGGTTCATCAGTAATATTGCTACACAAACAATGCCGTTTCAGTTCGATATCGGTCCAAGGAAATTCCGAAACTGTAATAATGGCACGTCCATCTATTTCCGATTTACTACTACATTGCCATCGATTCACTTCTGGATTAAACTCCGTTTGACAATCTTTGCGACCGAATCCTGCTTTGGTGAAAGTCAACTTTAAATTTTGCGCTTCGGCAGATTCAAATTGGTACAAACAGTTCAGGTCTTTTTGGCCGCCTCGCCCGAACAGGAAAGTGATTTTCGGCGAGTAAAATCGGCCTTTGGATTCGGCGAATAGGCGGTCGCACGGGCTCCTGTTGATTTGTAGACCTTCTTGTGATAAGTCGATGAATTCGTATCGGAGGCTGAATTGGATTGGGTACATGACTGTTCCGTATTTAAGGGTGTGGGTTATTGTCAGGTCTGAATTTGTGCTGATGTAGCTTTCGGATAAACTAAAATTGGAATTTATTAGTAATAATTATTTGACACTAGTACCAAGACTTGGGCTACGAGATTGTAATAACCAGAAACTATGGAGAGAAGGAATTAGTAATCACAGCCTCTTAGAAACAGATAACAGCTGCTAAGAAACCTCTGCATATAAAGTTTACTAATTTTAAGGTACATCGGTCTGATTGATTGGACGAAAGTTGGTTGAGTTTTTAAGCGAAATCTCAAATTCTTACCTGCAAGGTCTGGTTAATCTGGACGAGTTGCTCAGTAAAGCGTGATCGCACAATTTGGGTTTGTCGTCCTTGCAAAATTGCCCAATCAGTTGGGCGGAATTTCGACTTTTGAGATCGCCGTCCCAAATTTGCAATTGAATGTCGCACCCGCCGCTGTTGTAATCGTGAATTTTTTCGTTGTTTATGTGATATTTTAGAAAGGAGATCCATATTATGTCTTTTGATTGGCCCCTGAATACATGAATTATATATTAAGGTGATAGATAAACATTTCGTTATTTTTGTATTATTTTGATGTAATAGCTATACAACCTAAATGATAATCTACTATTGTCACATTGTCACAATCGCCTGTTTCACAGGGGTGACATGGTTGTATCTTTGGGAGTTGATGAAGAGAAACTTGCTCAAGTGGGTTTTGGGTTAATAACTATACACTATTGGAAAGAGCATTAGATTCTCTATAAACCTGTGCAAAATTGGGTTTTGAAGCTTTTAGAGTTTGAGAGATATTGACCTTCAAAGTTGAAATATAGTCTACATTTTATCCAAAACTTCAAACTCGATTTTCTCAAAAACTATAAATGGTAGCGATTTCAGTTAAATACCATCTAAAAGCCCTTATAAACAGTGTTGCCAGGTCTACTGATTTATCAGTAGATCTACTGATTTGGCCACTGCTCTACTGATATCAATGTAAATTCTACTGATAAAAGACATTACCATTATTTACTTGCGTTCGTGCGTGTTTGTGTTGTATCTTGTTGTCTTATTTATTTGCTTTTTGCCTTGCCAGTTGCCGAAAGGCGTGCGTTGTTGTTGGTTAGTCTTAGTCAATTAGTCACAACGTTATGTTGTACAACTAACTGCAGCTTGTTTTACCTGTTTTTATAAGACTAAACTACTGCAGGTACTCCCATTTGAAAAAAGCTGAATGCATGCAACATTTCACATTTCTGACATTCAATTTTTGTTTCTGACCACGGATTCTAAAAATTTAGCCAATACTGTACCAGTGGCGGATCCCGAGGTGCTTTTCGGGGGGGGGGCACTTAACCTAAGAACGTGGTCATTTGGTAGCCGCCGGAGGCTAATCGCCGAAGGCGAAAAATTTTAGGGTGCCACGCACCTTTTTTGGGCCCTTTAACGATATTTAGTATCAATATTTGGTTGTCCAAGGTTATTTTTTATATTTTCCCACCCCTTAACTTTTTTGTGCCACTTTGTATAAAAAAAATATAAATAGGAAAAGTGTATAGGTTCAGATTGAAGAATAGTTTCCAGAAAACATAGTTTTATTCATACAGGGTGTTGCAGAAAGTTTAAAAAACGAAAAAATATATATATTTTTTTAATTCTACACCCGGCATATTAAGTATTGAATATTCGGATTCTACGTAAAACTCTGAGCAGATTTCATGTGATATACACTATACCTAAGTTCAACTGTTTTGGAAATATTGACAGTTGGTCAAAATGACAGTATGTTGGCAATACAATGTAAAATTGTCAATGGGTGCATTCAGGCGGTGCCAGCGGCTTAGTTCAGCTACTCAGCAGGAACTTTATTCTCGAAACAGGGGAGCAGCGTTCTCATTGGAACGAAGGTTCTGTCTTTGTCGTCTGGCATAACACTGACAATGACAGAGCAATCGTTCTTATGAGAACGCTGTTCCTTGGTTTTGAGAATAAAGTCCCTGCTGAATGGCTGAGCTTAGCCGCTGGGACCGCCTGAATGTACCGCTTTCAAATTTTTTATGTAGAAAAGCCTTGTGTTGCCAACATAGTTACTAAATTTTTGACTTGGGGAATTATCTTTAAAAAAAAAAACAGACTTTATAGTGTATTTTACATGAAATCTGCTCAGAATTTTACATGGAATCCGAATATTCAACAATACAAGCTATACACCTTTTTTATTTACATTTTTTCTATACACACTGGCTAGGTTTTTTGAGAGAGGTAGGTTGCCTGATAACTGTATGACGTCATCTGGGATGCCTCATCATAATGCAAATCTCCATAAGGCACCCCAGATACGTCATTAAAAGTTACCCATTACCAGGCAACCTATTAACTTTAGGAACCTTGACACACTGGCTCAAAAAAGTTAAGGGAGGTGGGAGAATATAAAAAAATGACCCTGTACTTAGGTATAAAATACCTACTTATTGTGAAGGAATATAGTATTAAAGACTTATTCTAAGAGAAAAAATTCAATACATAGGTTAACATAGATATCGAAATATCAAAATTTACAATTCTATACTGTATCAATCACCAAAATCATTAGCCGCCATCAAATTACAACCGAAAGGCAGTCAGAATCACCCAATCAGTTGAAATAATCTCAAAAGCCTGAGAGAAAATGTTACTATTTAAAAGAATATATTTTTTGTACGTGCGAAGGATACTTTCTAGAGATTTTTTCATAACATGAAAAATTCTTGGAGGGGGCACTTGCCCCCAGTGCCCCCTGGATCCGCCACTGTACTGTACAACTTTTGTATTTACACCTTTGATCTACTTGCAAAGGTGAAGGCTGTAGGTGGGGTGTCAATATATAAAAAAACACTCTGTACTTGAACAATAACTTATTATTATAAAGTCAGAATTTGTAAGATTATCCACTTTTTATCATTTCGCCTTTCAACAGGAATTAGTAATGTTACAGCGAGTTCCGCAGCCATCTATTCATCAATATGTTGTTTAATTACGATACTAACCTGACTCACTCAATTGTGAGTTATTCTCATTAGTTTAAAAACTACATGTTTCAGGTGAATGTCTTATACTTGAACAGTTCAACAGTTGATGAGTAGATGGCTGCGGAACTCGCTGCGCTCGTCCCGCAGAGGTCCACCCATAAGTTCCGCAATAATCCACCTATTTATACTTGAACAATAACTTATTATATAAACTGAAAATTTGTAAGATTATGATTATTCACTTTTTGTCAATTCGCCTTCCAACAGAAATTAGTAATGTTACTTTACCAAACTAGTAATATATTGTGTCAAGTTATTCAAGTACAAATGAGTGAATTGTTGCGGAACTTATGGGTGGACCTCTGCGGGACGAGCGCAGCGAGTTCCGCAGCCATCTATTTATCAATATGTTGTTTAATTACGATTCTAACCTGACTCACTCAATTGTGAGTTATTCTCATTAGTTTAAAAACTACATGTTCCAGGTGAATGTCTTATTTGAACAATTCAACACTATATTGGTGAGTAGATGGCTGCCCGCAGAGGTTCATCCATAAGTTCCGCAATAATCCACTTATTCATACATGGTGTTTTTTTATATATTGACACTCCACCTACCTCCTTTTACAGGTAGAAAAAAGGTGTAAATACAAAAGTTGTACAATTTTGGCTGAATTTTTAGAAACCATGATCAGAAACAAAATTTGAATGTCAGAAATGTGAAATTTTGCATACTTCCAGCTTTTTTCAAATGAGATGCCCTATATTTCATTCTATATTCTTGAAGAGCACAATGCCTCGATTCCAAAAATATATAGTTTGTCTATATTTGATTGAACAGTCTCTCATATATTCGGCTCCAAAAATTGTAAAAATACCATCCTACTATACTGATTTTGTGAACCATTTTACCTGTACAGGTGAAAGCTGCAGGTAAAATTTGAGGTAGGTACTTGGTTTCTCTGATAGTATTTTTAAAATTTTTAGAACCAAATATATTAAAGATGGCTCAACAAAATACAAACTATATAGTTTTGGAATCGGGAAATTATACTCTTCAAGAATATAAAACGAAATAATAGGGCATCGCATAGGTAGTGCATATTTAATAGGAATATCTCATGTGTCTAAATCTTTGATAAGTTGGACCATGGCCTCATAGCACAGAAAATGTACAAAGTGGGATTTCATAAGGGCTTGGTCGATATGTTCATTTCGTACTTGAGTGGGCGTACACAATTTGTTGAATTTAACGAGTTCAAATCAGTTTCATACAATGCTTCTAGTGGTGCCCCTCAGGGGAGTAACCTAACTCCACTCATCTTTGCTATATTTGTGAATGACATTGCAGACACTATCTCGTCTGACTGCTTGTTATTTGCGGATGACCTGAAAATCTTTAGAATAATCAATAACATTGATGACTGTAGAGAATTACAAAAGGACATTAACTCCTTATCTGCTTGGTGTAGCATTAATAAACTTATGCTTAATATTAATAAATGTCATTCTATGACAATATCTAACCTTAACCAAGAATTGGGGAATCCAAACCACGTGACTTTTGCCAACCAGCCGGCATTTTGAAATTTTTATGAAGTTAGAATACGGGTTGTTACATGTCAACGATGTCAGAAAAGTGTCAGATTGATAAAGCCTAGTACTCATAACCGCGAAATTCACCCTTTTTTGACAATGCTTGAATAATTTAACGTTTGATTCATGCATAAAACGTCAAATTGTCGAAGCAATCTCAAAAAAGAGCGAATTTCGCTGTTATGAGTACTAGGCTTAATCCTGCCAAAAGAAAAACATATGTTTTTTGTTTATTGTTTGCCAACCAGACGCCATTTGGACAGGTCGTTGGATTGCCTAATTAAATTATGCTTATTCCCTAGACAACAGTACTCTCACCAGCGTTGAATCTATACGTGACCTTGGAGTCATAATTGACAAGAAACTCACATTTAACAGTCATATCGACGATCTCGTACAGGCTACTCTAAGAACACTTGGATTTATATTCAGGTCTACCAAAGATTTTACAAAAACAGAGAACTTAATTACTTTGTACAACTCATTAAAATAAATCTAAATTACAATATGCAGCTTTGATATGGTTTCCCAACTATGAAATCCATGTCGACAGGCTCGAATATGTTCAGCGCAGATTCCTTAAATATCTTAGTTTTAAACTGGATGGAACTTATCCTCCAAGGGGGTTTGATCATAAGTTGTTGCTACAACGCTTTGACTTTCTGTCAATTAAACAAAGTACAATCCTTGCCAGTCAACTATTTTTATTTAAAATTCGCAACAACTTAGTCGATTCTGGTGAATTACTAAATAATCTTAACTTCTTTGTACCGTCGATAAACACACGAACTCACCATAGATTTTATTTAGAAAATTTTCGCACAAACCTTGCCAGAAAAGCGCCCATATATACAGCCTGCTCATGGTTTAACCAATTATCCAATAACAGTGATATAGATCTATTTCACGGCTCTGTTGATTCATTCAAAACTAAAATAATACCAAAAATAAAAAGTAATTTTGATTGATATATCTTGGTTTTTTTTATTTCAATTTTTTCATTTTTTTTTCTCTTGTTTCTTATAATACAATATTTTTTCTTTTGTGATATTTTTTTTTGTGTTTGATTTTCTACTGCAAGTTTTCATAGTCTAATACACAGTTTAATGATTTGAGTATACTCTAATGGTTTACCCCTTTAACAAGGCAACTTATCTGTCTACTGATTTCTACTGATATTTAGACTGGTAATCTACTGACAAAACAAAATATGACCTGGCAATACTCGCTAAAAATCCTAAAAATTTTGCCCCAGTACCGCTGTTGGTTACCAAGGTATTCATGTTTGAAGATTTGCAAATCAAAATCCAAAGGGGAAAAAGTGCAAAAAATTGAATTTTTTTATTTTTAAATATTTCTGAATTTTGACTTCAGAAATCGATAGTGCGAGTGCAAATCAGTCAGGAACAACTCTTACGTCGATTATACAACTCACTTTACATTATTCCCATATGACACGAGAGGCTTAATAAGTGATAAGCCTTTTGGGATTATCACGCTTGGTGGCATTTATGGCAAATTCTATTATAGATAGAAAAAATTGCAATTTTTTATTTTTGAATTTTTCTAAATTTTGACTCCAGAAATCGATAGAGCGATTCCAAATTAGTCAGAAACAACTCTTACATCAATTACGTTTAAGGATTTTGATGAGAAAAAAAATCCATAAGGAAATCTCATTTTTGGCTTTGGAAATATTTTGGAATCTTGACACGCTCATGAATAATTGCTTATATCTTCAATTATATTTTAGTAAATTGATAATAGCTATACATCATTGGAAAAAGCATTAAATTCTTTATAAACTTTTGAGTTTTGTAGCTTATGGAGTTTCAAAGTTGAAATTTAGTCGAGTCTGCTCACCTCAAATGGTAGTGACAAGTAGTATTCGGAGGCAAAGAGTGCACAGGACTTTCTAGCACACCTGTGATATTATCAAACGACGTAATCAAAAATTCACATTTTTTGCCAGGAACTATATACGTAGGCGAGTCTTTGTTCACAAAAAATACCTACAAAAAAACATAAGAAAAAAAACCCCAAACTGTCAAAGTACTTACTCGAACTTCGAGCTCAAATCCAGGCAAATAGGACAAAGGTAAAGGATGAAAAGGATTACCAAACGGTGACGTGTGAAATTTTAAAAGCAATTCTGGACCGCTCGAAACGATTTCCGGAATAGTTTCTCCGCTGCAAAGATGCGCCAGGGGTGTAGCCGATGAGCCCCAGCCGTCGTAGATTTCGATGTAGTCTTGAATCATGTTGCATTTATCCCAAATTCTGAAAATTAATAATTTACGTTTTAACCGGATTTTACCAGAATTTCTGACATTAATTGAGCGAAACAAAATCTGCATAACCGAGCAAGTCAGCATACGTCACGTCTGGATTATTAATGAGGAAAGGGGGAGATGATGCATATTACATCTCTCAAGGTATATATGGCTGTAGCGAGAAGGTGCTAATAAATGTCAGGGTTGTCTCTGTAAGGTAAATGTTATTTTGGATTATCATATATTTTCGCTTTTATTTAATTATATTGAAAAAGACAGATAACACTGGCTGCTGCAGATGACACAACGATTTTTCACAATTAAATTCAGCTCCTGGTAAATACGTGTAGGTAATATTTTTTCTCTAGCTAGCTTGGCAAAAATATTAATGTGTACTCACTTCATCATTTTATCGCCGCTACTGTCAAATTTAGGGGCGCTTTCTTTGTACTGATAATTCGATTGTCTGATAGCTATGAGGGCGTGCTTGTCTGCCGGCACATTTTTTTCTCTCACCCTGTAATGGCAAGTGACATTTCTCGGGTAAATCCCTGGATAGTTGGGTGATTGAATTTTACAATTTCGTCTGGAACAACCTGGAATATCAAATTTTATGAAAATTATTATGTACTATGAGGGAGGATGGTGTATATTATTTGGAAGCAGAGAAAGATTTGGACAAATTTGAATTCAAAAATATATCGAACATTGGTTTGCCTAAACTTGATGTCTAGCGGTAGAGATATTGGGAAGATAATATTACAGGATTAGATGTTCATTCATTATGAAATGTATTTTGCTCTTGTCTCATGCATCATGGCGATTAATTATTAGATCGATTGATACTATTGTTAACTATTCATGCTTAGATTATGGACGTTAATGATGTTGTGTTGTTGTTGTTGCTCCATCTCTCCGCTTTTTTAATTTTTTTCCTAGCTCGATTTGCAAGAACAAGGATGAGCACCTCATAAAATAAACCATTATAGTTAAAAGTTTAAAATCCTGGCCACCACCATAACCATTTAAATTATGAAAGAAAAATAGAATTATGTTAAAAATTGTAAAACATAGATCACATATGCTATGCGAATAACCAACAAAATGCTTGTTCACATAAACAAAAAACTACAAGTACAAAGTCACCTTACATCTCGTATAACAATGCCTTCTTCAAGAAAGACGTTGAATTATTTATTTTTAGCTTAAGGATGAAATATCAACGGAGCAACAAAAAGCGAAAATTCCTCCGAGGAAAAAATTCAAATTTTTATTAGCCCGATTTAGCAATATCAGTTAGTCGCGCTCCGAATTAGAACTCTGCGCAGGCAAAAACTTAAAAAGCAATTCGAACTTTTACGATAATAATGAGCGAAATTGGAAAAAGTTTTCCCGTCAAAACCCCCCCGAGGCGCTGGCTCGTAATTATAACTTGATTTGAATAAAGACGACATTGGATAGTTTAAATTTTCTTTTGCTACAAAATGTCTAAAATTCTACCGAGCTTCATATACGAAGAGTGTCAACATAAATAAATAATGCGCCATATTTGCTGCAAAGCAGTATTTTACGACATAGACACTACGCTGTGACAGTGCAGTGCCCGTTTTCATTATAAATGCAGCATTCGCTTCAGGAGAGAAGACAATAGGCACTTCTAGAGAGAGCAACTATGTATGCATGTCATTTGACGGAGGGAAAAAGGGTAAACGTGGAATTGTGTTTGTTTTCGGGAATATTGCGAATAAAAGAAATACGCTCACGAAAAAAAAAAAGTCCTTACCTTCGAGCAAACGATCGCAGTAACTTCCGACACTAAGTTTACCCCTGTAAGTCCTTTGGGTCTGATTCCCGTAGCGTAGCCTGGCATCCGACAACTTCAAAAACTTGTAAGAAAGTTTAAATTCGAAGCTGTAAGCGGAACTTTGCTGAAAAATATTTATTAAAATAAAAATTTATTTGTTTGTGTTCCATATTATGTTTTTATAAATTTCATAATTTACTACTGAAGCTAGGAAAAAGGATCATAAGAGCAACTCTTTTTTAGGCTGTATTGGTTAATACCAATCTAAGAGAAGCATATTAGAACTCTCTGCTAAGAAAGGCAAAGATCATCAAAATGGAGATTTCTCTGGAATTTATCTCTGGCAACTCTGAGAGCTGAAATTGGGGTTTTAACTTGTTCTAGCCTTTACTTGTGTTTGCAAACATTTTAGAGTTACTGATTCGATTTAGGAGAAAACCACAGGAGTATTTGATCTCTTATATAGTTTCATGGGATGGAAAAGATAGCGGAGAACGCCTCAAAATATATAGCCACTGTGTAGTAGGTACCTAATTAACAAATCTAGTATCTTTTCTTCTTTATTCTTAATCCTCTAAATCTTAGAGCAGATGAAGGTAAAGAGGAGTAGTAACATGGAGTTGCAAAATGAAGCCGTATTTTGGCATCAAAAAAATGGCGGTATAGGCAAGCTTCTCCTGTATTTTGGCGCCAAACACCTGCCAAAAACTTGGCTTCACTTTAGTTTCATAAGCTAAATCTGGTATTTTGAATCAATATTTTTTTTTTCTGGAAACGAATTCAAGTTTCTAGATTGTCATTTTTAGATGATGTCTACAGGAGGGTTTGAGCGTCAACCTCAACAAAACCATAATTGTATCTTTTACAAGGAAAAGGAGGGGTAAATCTAATAGCCCCAACCTTAAATCATCTTGGATCAGAGACTCACTTGAAACCAACATCTTATAAGAATAACCGACCGGGTAATAGCTTTCAGCAAGAATTTGGGTCTAAAGCCAGAAATGATCTATTAGTTATTTACAATCGTTATAAGACCCATGATCACTTACGCTGTAATAGTATGATGGCCAAAAGTAAAATAACAGACAGCGCAAAACTGATTGGCAATTGTACAAAGGTATCCATGTCTTGGAATTACAGGAGCAACCTGTCTAGGCTACATAGGAGCCTCGAGAATAATGCAGTTCCTGAAACTAAAAGAAGGGGACGTTGTCGGCCACATGAGTATTATGAAAAAATAAATAAATGTGAAGAGAAAACCAATTGACCACATTCAAAACAGTACCTGTATTCCCGAACGAATGGTATACAGACGGACCGAAAACAGAGCAAGGGACTGGAGCAAGGGTATACGACCCATTTTGTAGACTCCAGAAAGTGTATCGAAAGAGAACTGCGAAGAGCGGAGATCTATATCCATTCCGACAGTCAGCACTAGGAGCTCTGAGTAACTCTTACACTAAATCCAGACTGGTATGGGATTACCAACAACTCCTTAAGCAACTGGCGTTTCGCAATAGAGTCACCCTGTCATGGGTATCAGGGCACCGAGGAGTCGAGGGAAATTAGATAGCGGACCAACTTGCAAGATAATGAGCTACAACACCATTCCTTGAACCAGAACCTTTCTTTGGTATTGCGAAAAGACATTTAATAGGGGCAGGTCCCGAATTGGGTAACGGCTCTACAAGTCTCCTGCTGGAACACGCTCTGACACTAAATCCAGACTGGTATGGGACTACCAACAACTCCCTAAGCAACTAGCGTTTCGCAATAGAGTCACCCTGTCATAGGTACCAAGGTACCAAGGAGTCGAGGGGAATGAAATAGTAGACCAACTTGCAAGACAAGGAGCTGCAACACCATTCCTTGGACCAGAACCTTTCTCTGGTATTGCGAAAAGACAAATAATAGGGGCAGGTCCAGAATTGGGTAAGGGCTCTACAAGTCTCCTGCTGGAACACGCTCTGACACTAAATCCAGACTGGTATGGGATTACCAACAACTCCTTAAGCAACTGGCGTTTCGCAATAGAGTCACCCTGTCGTGGGTATCAGGGCACCGAGGAGTCGAGGGAAATTAGATAGCGGACCAACTTGCAAGATAATGAACTACAACACCATTCCTTGGACCAGAACCTTTCTTTGGTATTGCAAAAAGCCATATAATAGGGGGAGGTCCAGAATTGGGTAAAGGCTCTACAAGCCTCCTGCTGAAACACGCTCTGACACTAAATCCAGACTGGTATGGGACTTCCAACAACTCCATAAGCAACTGGCGTTTCGCAATAGAGTCACCCTGTTATGGGTACCAGAGCACCGTAGAGTCGAGGGGAATTAGATAGCGGACCAACTTACAAGATAATGAGCTACAACACCATTCCTTGGACCAGAACCTTTCTTTGGTATTGCGAAAAGACATTTAATAGGGGCAGGTCCCGAATTGGGTAAAGTCTCTACAAGCCTTCTGCTGGAACACGCTCTGACACTAAATCCAGACTGGTATAGGACTACCAACAACTCCTTAAGCAACTGGCGTTTCGCAATAGAGTCACCCTATCATAGGTACTAGGGTACCGTGGACTCGAGGAGAATTATATAGCGGACCAACTTGCAAGATAATGAACTACAACACCATTCCTTGAACCAGAACCTTTCTTTGGTATTGCGAAAAGACATTTAATAGGGGCAGGTCCCGAATTGGGTAACGGCTCTACAAGTCTCCTGCTGGAACACGCTCTGACACTAAATCCAGACTGGTATAGGACTACCAACAACTCCTTAAGCAACTGGCGTTTCGCAATAGAGTCACCCTGTCATAGGTACTATGGTACCGTGGAGTCGAGGAGAATTATATAGCGGACCAACTTGCAAGATAATGAACTACAACACCATTCCTTGAACCAGAACCTTTCTTTGGTATTGCGAAAAGACATTTAATAGGGGCAGGTCCCGAATTGGGTAACGGCTCTACAAGTCTCCTGCTGGAACACGCTCTGACACTAAATCCAGACTGGTATAGGACTACCAACAACTCCTTAAGCAACTGGCGTTTCGCAATAGAGTCACCCTGTCATAGGTACTAGGGTACCGTGGACTCGAGGAGAATTATATAGCGGACCAACTTGCAAGATAATGAACTACAACACCATTCCTTGAACCAGAACCTTTCTTTGGTATTGCGAAAAGACATTTAATAGGGGCAGGTCCCGAATTGGGTAACGGCTCTACAAGTCTCCTGCTGGAACACGCTCTGACACTAAATCCAGACTGGTATGGGACTACCAAGAACTCCTTAAGCAACTGGCGTTTCGCAATAGAGTCACCCTGTCATGGGTACCAGGGTACCGAGGAGTCGAGGGGAATTAGATAGCGGACCAACTTGCAAGATAATGAGTTACAACACCTTTCTTTGGTATTGCGAAAAGACATATATTAGGGGCAGGTCCAGAATTGGGTAAGGGCTCTACTAGTCTCCTGCTGGAACACGCTCTGACACTAAATCCAGACTGGTATGGGACTACCAACAACTCCCTAAGCAACTAGCGTTTCGCAATAGAGTCACCCTGTCATAGGTACCATGGTACCAAGGAGTCGAGGGGAATGAAATAGTAGACCAACTTGCAAGACAAGGAGCTGCAACACCATTCCTTGGACCAGAACCTTTCTCTGGTATTGCGAAAAGACAAATAATAGGGGCAGGTCCAGAATTGGGTAAGGGCTCTACAAGTCTCCTGCTGGAACACGCTCTGACACTAAATTCAGACTGGTATGGAACTACCAAGAAATCCTTAAGCAACTGGCGTTTCGCAATAGAGTCACCCTGTCATGGGTACCAGGGCACCGAGGAGTCGAGGGGAGTTAGATAGCGGACCAACTTGCAAGATAATGAACTACAACACCATTCCTTGGACCAGAATCTTTCTTTGGTATTGCGAAAACACATATAATAGAGACAGGTCCAGAATTGGGTAAGGGCTCTACAAGTCTCCTGCTGGAACACGCTCTGACACTAAATCCAGGCTGCTATGGGACTACCATCAACTCTTTAAGCAACTGGCGTTTCACGAGTCACCCTATAATGGGTATCAAAGCACCAAGGAGTCGACGGGAATGAAATAGCAGACAAGGAGCTGCAACACCAATCCTTGGACCAGAACATTTCTTGGGCATTAGCCATATAATAGGAGAATTGGTTGAAGGCTCAACAAGCATCTCGCTTAAACACGCTTCCAGGACTTAGACAAGCGGAATAATTCATCTCGCCTCAGTTATTAAAACCAAAGGTAATGATTGACCCTATTGAAGCGGATCTAAGGCTGTTTACAGGCTTTTTTATGGGTCACCGCCCTCTGGGTTACCACCTGGAAAAGAGGGGCAAAACAAAATCAGATTTAGGAAGCCTCTGATTCTGCGGAACACATACTTTCCAACCGTGAAGCATTGAGCCCTAGAAGACTCGTCCATTTGGAGCAGCCCTACTTAACGACTGTGGATGTAATAGAAGCCAATCCCAGGAACATTATGCCAAAAGCCATATGGGAACCCAGTGCGGACAGGTCCATAACTTTAACATCCCAACCATCACAATCTACAATCTAAATTGTATAGACTGGTCTTTTGTAAGAATTCTACATTGCGATTAGGGCAAAGAGATTTACAATAAACGATTTAGAAATGTAATAATTAAAAAACGCTTTTCCACATACCTATAACACCAAAATAAACTGCAATGGTGCCCAAAAAAAAAACGAGAATCGAATAAACTAAAATGTCAAGATGCAAAACTCAAAAACTTACATTTTGTCATTAAAATCTTCGAATAATGAATTATTTTCCACGTCAAATCTCACGCAAAGTCCTTAAAAGGATTGTTGGTCGCCGCCCAAAAATCTGAAACCGACTTACACAACTTTCAATTCGGAACTTTTGCCAACGTCATTCAGTTCGATATAAAGTTTCTTGGACTTGGAAGCTTAAGAACTTAAAACTTTAATGAGATTTGACTTGTTTCCTTTTCTTCCTAAATGCAATGGGAAATTGGAGTTACTTGTGTGAAAAACTATAGTTTTGGTCTGCTGAAGAAAAACTTTATATAAATTTGTAAATGGGCGTGCTACTTTTTTCAAATGAACAACCCAAGTTGTAATACATTTTTCAAAATACGTACATTTTACAACAGTATATTTAACCAATATAAACCCAATGAGACTTCTGAGGACCATTATAATCCTCCCCTGATTTTTTTTTAGGTTTTACGAGAGCCAAATAAAAAAAATTTACACCAGATTCAACGTAGAGGCGATCTGGGGCAAAACAAATAATTTTGAAAATTCAATTTCAGTCCAAAGCCGGTAAAGGGTCCTGGGGCCAGCGAAGTGGTAAAAACGTCATTTTCCATTTATCGGCTTTACGATGCCATAAGTGTAAACCGATGCCCCTTTTCTTTCACACATCGAGTCCCTTCATAAGATATGACTTGATTTAGTATTTCCGATAGGATAACGTTTTCCTTTTTTTTTTCTATTCAACAAAAATATATTTTGGCAATCCAACTATCAATAATATGGCCCGGGCTGAAATTTGTGTGGAAACGCAAACGCGTTCAATTATTCGCATTGTGGATCGGCGCAACTGACCGTTAATCATTAATTATTGCTGTTTAACTTTTAACACACGAACCTTCCAATTTCGTATTTTTGTGCTAACAAAATATTTTGCCTCGTATAAGGATTTGGTCATCTGCACAAATCCAAGTTTATTCTATACATTAAGCCCCAAATACCGCTACAAACAAATTTAAAGTAGAGCTAGGGGCTTTATGAACATTTTACGAGCAGTCCTGTTATAAAGCCCCGAGCGTCTGAACAAGAAAATAATTTTAAAAATTCGATTTCCCGACCCTAATCTCCCGGCTCGAGCTACCGGTTAGTGAAAAAAAAGTTTTATTTTTACCTGTTGCGGTATCCTGTTCATAGCCAAAGTAAGATTAATACTTGACGTTTCGCTGTAGTAAACGGTGTATCCCCAGGCACTGCCGCACCATTTTCCTGCCGAAGATGGTCTATTTGCTTCTTTTATTTGAATATAGCCGTCAGGACAACCTGCTGTTGTGAAAGATTCGAAGGTGCCAATAGAGAATGACTCAAATGATAACTGAAACAAAACATTTTCTAAAAAGTATATACAAAGTGAGTAGTGCAATCATAACCCTAAAAGTTGTGGAAACTGGAAATAATTACAAAGTGAATAGGATGGATGCGACCAAAGATGATTGTTGATTGAATACTTTAATAATTGGTTGAAATAGATATCGAGCCAACATCTGCATAATGGGCGGTCGTAAATGAATTGCATTCAATATCGCGAAAAAATTTTGTGAGAGCACGAGTACATTAGGATTTGTGCCAAATAGGTTCGGCAGAAATGCAGCAGTAGGCCAATGAAAATGGCTATCGATAAATTTTAGCCAAAAATACATGGATTCAAACTAGAAAATTACTTAGTCATGGAAAGCAAGTACTAACCTGGAAAATTAATCAAGGCAAAACATTCAACAAATTTGTTTTTAGTTGTCTGCACCAGTGGCGACGCCAGGGCTTTATGTTAGGGGGGAGGCAGACTGGGCCAGAAAAAATTAGGGGGGGGCCAGACTGGGGCAGAAAAATTTAGGGGGGGACACTTGATTTTACTTTATTGCATGCATGGTAATATTGAGGTAATTAAAAACAGAGAAGTAGGTATAGCTGATAAAGATCACCTTTAATAACTTCAATTATGTAGGTAGATATATTGAAACATACAAAAAAAAAAACATCACCGCAAGACATATCCAAGTAAAGATAGTTATTTTCCTAACAAGTGCGCAAAGTGTTAATTTTCCGCAAGCAAACCCAGTTTGTATAGATGATATAGAAACAGAGAAAACATTTTTTCATCATGTGTCAAAGTCGACAGGTGCACTTGTTGCTTGATAATTAGTTTTACTTCTTTGCACTCATTGCGGATGAAGACCTTATGCGCACAGAGTGCGAAAAAGTGTAACTTTGAGCAAGGAAATGCATGCGGAAAACGAAAAACTACTACTTACCGAAACCTAAAACCTAAAGCAGTAAAATTCTTCGGTTATTATGATTTTTTAGCAAAAGTATATGCTTTCAGATATTATTGGCGTAGCATTATCCATGGAGGAATTTGACTTATTAAACAATAAGCTTAAACAGCATAAATATGTTTTTCGCAGTAACTTTTTTTTTCGGGTTTGGTCCAACAAAAAATATTGGTTGCTGTTGTAAGAAATGGCTTTACATCTATATTTAAAACTATACCTACCCCAAATGTATCTGGTAGTTGGGCTCTCAATTATTATTCCCTGAAGAACCTCTGGTTTGCTTTTAGGCCGTAACATTTCCTATTTCCCTTATTTTCTCTTGAGAAATTATTTGGACATCCTAAATATGAAATAAAATTGACAATGCCGAATTTTGAAAAATGTCAATGGATTTTGCAGGTATGCAGAATAGTAAGGTACCGTTTATGTATTGCAATATTGAAAAATATATTGAAAAATGTGTCAAATTTGATTGGCCAGGATAGGCCCGAGAGTTTTAATACTGCGATACGTACGAAATTAGTGTGAAACACACTTAAAACTATTTGAATTTGACATTTTACTGTCATTATTATACGAGGGTCAAACTGTCAAATTTCCATGGATAATGCTACGTCAATAATATCTGAAAGGCAAATATCAACAATATTATCGGGATTCATATTATATATTGTATATAGGTATATCATATATAACATTTTGTCCATATTTTGATGTAGACTTTTTTTCATGCGACTTTTGGCACAAGCGCAAGTTTTCAGGGGGGGGGGGGGCGGCTAAATTTCAGGTGGGGCTCGCCCCCCCGAGGGGCTCCGCCCCCCCCCCCCCCCTGGCCCCCCTCTGGCGTCGCCACTGGTCTGCACCCTGCACCTTTTGGGATAGTTTTGTGCCATTACCTAGATTTGGCCAGTGGCTGACTGTGTCTTTTCTGCTTAGAAATTTATTTCCAATTCAAAGCCATCTGTGGTCATACCCTTTGGTTTTTTGTGTGTAGATATAATGTCAACTAACATGCTAAACCTTAATTCAATTTTGAATTATCTATTTGTTATTATATTTTATAAAATCCTTACATTATTCTGTTTTAGAGGTGTTTGACTTTAATAATAATTCTACTCTATTTGTTAATTTCAATATATATATTGGCAGGACCAGTTAAGCTAGCCCCCCCCCCCCCCCATAGAAAATTTCTGGATGAAAATAGGGTACTTGCATGGAAAATTAAATTGATTATTGTTTAATGCAAACTGTAGGAAATCGAAAAAAAATCGTTTCTTTTTTTTTATTTCGCCCAAATAGGTATGATTATTCTGGAAGTTATACAAATATTAAGTTTTGCATATATAGATATACTGAGCATATGCAACGTCACTAATTTATATAATAAGTGACGTCATAGGCAGATTTCATAGCGTTGTATCTCCGTTAATTTTTGACTAAGAAGAAAAAGAAAAAACACGCGTTGACTTATTTTTCATGGACTATCGAAATCAGCAATAAAAAAATTTGATGCAAGGAACCTACTATCCCATAATTTTGCTCTCATTTTGCTCTATTTTGCTACACTAATTTCGATTTTTGCTCCATTATAGTGGAGAGACTATATAGCCTATTAGGCATTCCAGGTTGACGTCATAACCGATCCGCCATTTTAGCTGAGGGGCAAACAAAAGCCAAACATAACCTGATTTAATGTTATTTTCAATGCAAACCGAGAATTTTTGAAGTATTATTTTGTGAAGTTGCCTTCGTTTTGTGGCTCCAGGCTAAAAGGGATAAAGTGAGGTTTTTTAGGATTCCAGCAGCATTTAAAGATCGAGGGGATCGCATAAACGAGCTATCAAAAAAACAACGGAGTATGTGAATTAGATGCCTCAATAGGGGAGATTTGCCTGTAACGTTGTTAAAAATGCTCGAATTTGTTCGAAACATTTTGTTAATGGTAAGTTTTATGACCGTCTTGTTGTTAAAATACAAAAACACTTCATCTCGGTACATCAAAAAAGTTGTTTATGTTTCTACAAGTATATACGGACCTTAGGTAACTTTTAATACCTTTTAGGTAGTCCAGCAGAATTTAAGGATACAAACAATCCGGATTGGGTCTCCAGTACAAATTTAGGATATACTACGATAATTGATAGAAGCCCAGAATGAACAAGCCAGTAAGCTAAGCTACATGCCAGATCTGTGCACCGATCAGAACAGTCAAAACGTTTGAGGAGTCATTCTACCTCAAATTTATTTTGCTAAAGTTTATTTGTAAACTTTTTTATTTTTTAAACAATTTAGATTCTTAAGCATTATTTTTGTTAATAAATTGTTTGTTTACTATTGTTGAATTGAAATGTAAAGTGGCATGTCTGTAAATAAAGATTCATTCATTCATTCCATTCATTCACAAAAACTAAAAACAACTTAAAATTTATTGAATAAATCAAAAAACGCAAAAATTCCAAAGCACAAACTCAAAAAACATTGTAAACAATGATCTATAGGCTTTGTTTGCCCCTCAGCTAATATGGCGGACCTGTCAAAAGTCAAGTCACATGACCTGGGGTGCGTTCAAAGACGACAATGCTAATGCCAAAACCTACTTTTCCCCCTCCACCGGTAATGCCGCACCACGTAGGTTGGAGCCGAACTCGAACGCAAAATGCCAATTTTGGCTTGGCTGTAGCCATTCCTGAACGCAGCCCTGGAATGCCTATTTAGGTGGAGGGGGGCTGAATTAACGCTAGCCCCCCCCCCGTGGAAATTCTTAAATTTGATCATGCTCCTTTTGTTTTCCGAGCTTTGCTCCATAATCGGCGAGTTTTGCTCCATTACCAGGCATGACCTAAAGAGCTCCCAAGAATCTCTCCCAGCCCACCCCCCCCCCCCCCCCCCCAGTGGAAATTCTGAAATTTTATCATGTTTATTTTGTTCTTCGAGTTTTGCTCCATAATCGGAAGTTTAGCTCCATTACCAGGAATAACGTACAGAGCTCCAAAAAATCTCTTCTTGCCCCCCAGTGAAAATTTTGAAACTTGAAATTACTCATTGTGTTCTCCGAGTCTTGCTCCATTTTGCACCATGATCAGCTCGTTTTGCTCCATCACGAGCCGTTTTCGGATGCGCTTTGAGCGCTCAGCGTTCCGAAGTACTCCGTTATACAATTTTACAGATTGGAGCGAACAGAGTTTGGCGCTCTCAAGCTACTCTCACTTTTCTCACCTGTTTCCCCTGATGCACTTGTAACTGATTTTTAAGCATTCGAGTGTAAAGCGCATTGAGTATAATGGGCGTGAAATGCTTCAGGTGCTTCGCACACTGCACCCGAAAGCGGCTCTGGAATGAACTACACAGCTCCCATGAATCTCTCCTTGCAACAAGTGTGAAAATTTTGGAGTTTCTATATGCGCATTTTGTTCTCCGAGTTTTGCTCCATTTTGCTCCATGATCGGCGAGTTTTGCTCCATTACCTAGAATGACCTACGAGCTCCTAAGAATCTCTCCCGTTGAGCGCTCAAAACGTGGCATCTGAAAAAGGCTCGTGATGGAGCAAAACGAGCTGATCATGAAGCAAAACGAGCTGATCATGGTGCAAAATGGAGCAAGACTCGGGAACACAATGAGTAATTTCAAGTTTCAAAATTTTCACTGGAGGGCAAGAAGAGATTGTTTGGAGCTCTGTAGGTCATTCCTGGTACAAAATGAGCATGATCAAATTTCAAAATTTTCAATGGTGAGAGGCTGGGAGAGATTCTTGGGAGCTCTGTAGGTCATTCCTGGTAATGAAGCAAAACTCGCCGATTATGGAGCAAAACTCAGACAATAAAATGAGCATGATCAAATTTCAGAATTTTCACTGGGAGTGGGAGGCTGGGAGAGATTCTTGGGAGCTCTGTAGGTCTCTCCTGGTAATGAGGCAAAACTCGCCGATAATGGAGCAAAATGGAGCAAAACTCAGAGAACAAAATGAGCTTGTTCAAATTTCAAAATTTTTACCATGGGGGGCTAGAAGAAATTTGTGGGAGCTCTGTAGGGCTCTCCTGGTAATAGA